AGATACTGATTGTGAGCTATTTGCGAAGTTTTTGCTTGCTCAATGGCCGTGCTCAGAACCTTCCGTAGCCGAATTTTCGACTTTTGTAAATATAGATATCGCCAAAGCCATGAACATTATCCTTCCAGATTGGGCAAGGATTTTCCAGAATATGGAGCTCTCTAAGTATTTTGAGCAAGTTCAAAAAGTGCTTTCTCGAGCTTACAGTGGAATCAATTTTCAGTTGCCAAATATGGAGGTTAAAAAACAAATAGTATACGCATCAAGAGTTCGGGGTAATGAGTTTCCCATGCTGTCGAAAGATTTAATGCGAATGCCATGCAAGGTCATAATATCATCTACTATAGTAGCTCCGTCTAATATACAAGCCGAGATATCGAGCCACAATGGCCACATAATCTCTCAAGAAGCGTCTCTTCTCGAGCGCATTGTTCTAAGTAAGTCACATTAGAAACTCAAATTTCTCTTAATCGACATCCATAATATACACATGGACTCTTACTGATGTTGGCTACCTTAGATCTCATGAGCAATGAAGCCTCGTTAGTACGCCGAAAATATGGAGAGGAACTGTTGCGGAGCCTGTCTTCATTCAAATTATTTGAGCAGATTCCGAAAAGCGGCAGAAAAGATGTCGACCCGCTAAAGCTTTACAGTGATATAGAAAGGACAAGAAGCGCGATAAGGGAAATTTTCAAGGAAATTTGTCGATCATTTGATAGCCCGAGTGCTGTATGGTTACGACCAGCAGGCTTATACCCATGTGTTTCAACCATAACGCTGCTTGAAAATCTACGTTCTACCTGGAGGACCAAGATCAACTTTGGGACTGGCATGAGAGAAACTTTGATCAATTATGCTTTACGTATCACAGAACTTCAAAGACTACTCAGAATTGAAGAAGCATTCTCAAAGGGTGATCAACAACGCTTGGTTGAAGAACAGAACAATCCGGGTCATTCAAATTGGCAGCCGATTGAAGAGCCTGATTGGCTTTTGATTGAGGTGGAAGCGAATGTTCTTATTCGGCCTGATCAAGTTGACGTAGCCAGAGCTACAATTTCTCCGAATTCCAAATCAAATTCAGTTTTACAAATGAATATGGGACAAGGAAAAACTTCAATTATTGTACCTATGGTGGCGTGTAAGCTAGCCAATGCGGAGCGCCTCGTGCGAATCATTGTGCCGAAACCATTATTGGTGCCAACTGCGCAGTTGTTACAAGCACGTCTCGGATCTCTCTTGGGTAGAAGCATCCTCCACGTACCATTCTCAAGGAAGACTCCTACAGATACAGTGAAGACTTATTTCAACTTGCACAAGGCGACTCTTCAAAACTCAGGTATCACTATTGCTTTGCCGGAGCATATACTGTCATTCCGATTATCTGGGCTTCAACATCTTTCGGATGGCCATATAAACGGAGGAAATTTAATGGTTAAAGTGCAACAATGGCTAAATAATCGTTGCCGAGATGTGATGGATGAAAGCGATCAGATTCTCTCATTACGCACGCAGCTAATATATCCGAGTGGTGCCCAGAACTCGGTTGACAATTATCCCCATCGTTGGGAGACAGCTCAAGCTTTACTGGCTCTTGTAGAAGGACATCTATACAATCTCGAGAAAGCTTATCCTCATAGTATTGAAGTTGTTCGAAGAGATTGTGGAGGCTACCCTATGCCATTTTTCCTCCGAAAAGATGTTGAAGAGGAGCTACTGAGTAGGCTTGTTGCTGATATATGTATTGGACGAACTTCAATTCTGGATATTTCCCGTTGCTCCAGATTGGAACGCATAGCCATTAGGGATTTCATAGCAAAGCCTAAGGTCACCACAGGGGTAACTAAGATTGTGAAAGGGATATTTTCGGATAAACCTGCAATGAAACGCAATCTCTTAAACGTCCGCGGTCTGTTAGTACACCGAATATTGTTGTTGGCGCTAAAAAAGAGATGGCACGTACAGTATGGTCTCCACCCCGATAGAGACCCTATTGCGGTCCCGTTCCATGGCAAAGGTGTACCGTCAGATCAAGCTGAATGGGGCCACCCAGACGTCGCGATACTTCTTACTTGTTTAGCATTTTATTATGAGGGACTGAATAACAAGCAATTACACCAAGCCCTCGAGCATGTTCTCAAATCAGACGATCCGGCCTCGATATATGATCAATGGTCCATGAGCTGTTCTGTGCTGCCTGATACGTTGCGGGACTGGAATAGTCTTAATCTTGAAGATGAACAACAGATGCTTGAGCTATGGACATATTTCAGCCGGTCTCCAGTAATCATCGACTACTACTGTAACAATTTTGTATTTCCGGCACATGCCAAATCCTTCAGTCTCAAACTACAAGCTAGCGGGTGGGAGATCCCCTTACCGTCTGCGGACAATCCCAATTCCATTACGACAGGATTTAGCGGCACCAATGATAATAGAAACTTGCTGCCACTCACTCTTAAGCAGCAAGATTTGGAGAGACTTTCCCATACCAACTCCGAGGTTCTTACCTACTTGCTTCAGCCCAGGAACCGGCGATATGTAGTTGCGGCTGACGAACGAGGCCGACATCTCTCTGAGATTGGATTATTGAGCAAGATCTCAAATTTGGGCATCCGGGTTCTCATCGATGCTGGAGCCCAGATTCTCGAGTTGAGCAATGAGTCGCTTGCAAGAACATGGCTTGAGATTGACACACAAGCAAAAGCCGCCGTTTACTTTGATGAAGCAGGAAAACCTATGGTGGTCCATAAGAAGTACAAACCAGTGCCGTTATCTGCTTCACCATATTCTGATGACTTAAGAAATGTTGTCGTTTATCTTGATGAAGCACACTGCCGTGGAATTGACTTGAAAATGCCTGCTAATGCTTGTGGAGCGCTAACGTTAAGTGAGTTCTTCATTTTCGAAAACAATGACGCCGACACTAACTTTGAATAGGTCTTGGACAAAGCAAAGATCATACTGTACAGGCAGCAATGAGACTGAGGCAACTCGCGACTACTCAATCTGTTATGTTCTTCGCACCACCCGAGGTTAATCAGAGCATATTGGACTGTGTTAAAAAGACCCATGGTAATTACGTGGACTCATACGGCGTCATTTGTTGGCTTCTGGAGCAGACGTGCGTAGGTATAGAGCTTATGCAGCCACTTTATTATTCTCAAGGCATTGATTATTGCCGTAGAGTTCAGGCTGCAGCTGATAATGTAGATTTCCTCACTGACGCGGAACATCGAGAGCAATTTATAGATACCCTCAGGAAAAAGGAGCAGCTTTCTTTACAACAACTTTACGGAGTTAAGACCAAAACCAAGACTGTGATTGGTACTGGCAAATTAACCACCCAAACAGCGAGTTTTGTCAATAAGCTCAATGCAATGCGGAAAAACTTTCGGGATACTGGCGATGCTGTTCACCATTCTGCTCTACAAGAAGTTGAACAAGAAAGAGAAGTTGCCTACGAAGTCGAAACCGTGCGTGAGGTTCAGAGACCTATTCATTATACCGCTTGGTCATTCCCTGGCCTAGAAAAGGACATTGTAACTTTTGTCAGAACTGGCAGAATTCCAGCAGGCTCCGCAGTAAGTTCAATAAACTCGACAATCACCTTTTCTATACTACTTACTTCTCTTCTCCGATGTCAAACTCCCACTTATGTATTCAATTCCATGTACCTATTTTAATACCTCACTAATTTATTGCTTGCTCATTATCTTCCCCCGAAAAAACATCCTTCATAAGCAATACTGACTCACTGACCCTGCAGTGTTGTGAACAGGCTTTTATAGCTCTGAGAAAAACCTGCATTGGTAGGAAGTTTGGAATCAACGCTGAAGCTCTCAATTCTCGACTATTTGTGTCTAAAGAATTTACGCGTTCTGTTAAAGTGATTCAACCACATGATAATTTTCTGGTAAGTTGGCTCCATTTCTGTAAGAGTCTGCTTGGAGAATACTTTCTTCTACATAATTCGTTGTGAATCTTTGATGACTTTGAGGGTTTCAACGGATATGAGAGACTATTACACTTCCAGAATTCAACTGGGTTCGAAAACTGTTTTAGTTTCACGCGTTTGCTAACATTTAACGTTTAGCGTCAAGTGAATTGGGTCCTGTGGAGTCCTGTAACCGAAACCGCCTTAGTCGTGATACCTGAAGAAATGGAGCTCCTCATTCCAATTCTTCGTGACTATCTAGCTCCTGCGTGTTTCCTCTTGACTTATGCAGCTCCTACGACCCGCAAGATGCTTATTAATTTCAATGATCTCCAATATTATGCTATACCAGCACTTTCAAAGGACTGGGTTGCGCCGACATGGTTATCAGTACAGTTGGGTATTTTTTCGGGAGCTCTTTACTTCGAATACTCTCAATATGAGTATCTTCGTGGATTCTTGGGATTTGGCATAGAGAAGACTATGGAAGAGTTACAAGGAGAGTGCTTGGAAGAAGATTGCAATGTTGTCGATGGGAAGGCTACTGATAATGGCAATGGAAAATATCAGACCTCCATCGGTTTTACGACCAGACCTTTAACATTCCTGCAAGAATGGTTGAGTGTTAGGCGTAAAGGCCAAGACTTCTCTCATACTCCCATGGGATATGTTTGTCAAGGCAAGGTCCTTACGGAAAATCATCCATTTTTCAGTAAAAACGAACCGAACGCCACCGCAAAGCTCACCCATCCCAATCGCAGAGGAATATCAGGTTCAAAGGGAGCTCTAGCGAGCACTACTTATGACGATGACCTTAACGATGACTGGGCAGACATGAATGCCGATGAGAACGGAGTAGCAGTGGGCGATGACAGTGATTCTGAGGACGATGATCAGTATGAGGATGAGGAGACTAGCAGTGGAAGTGTGTTTACCGATTCGGAGGATGGATTTTAAGATGTCGAGTACTTCAAGGGTTACTTTCCATTGGAATGGTGAGTGAGTCTAGAATTTTGTATGTATTAGTATTACACACCGTGGCTTTTTTATCTTTAAAATAGAAATATTGCTTCGACGCTGTGGTTATGAGTGACCTAAATGTACTCGACGTGTGTCAAATATTGCAAAGCTTTTTCATAATGTTGCTCACTCCATTTGAGACTTGCGTGAAATTGTATGATGACTTTGCATGGGAAAATGAAAACCACAAACTAATAAGTTAGCAGATTCTTTTTGCCGCTTTATGCCTTCCCCCTCACATGACACCACAACTTCCCTGATCTTTCGCCAAAAATTCCCCCAAGCTGCTAAACATCCAATTTCGTTCCCCCCATCCAAGCAACCCCATCTTCTTCCAATCAATATGCTCTGCAAGACTTTCTTTCTCCTCTTCAACTCCCCCGCTCTTCTCATTATCACGACCTTCATGATACCTTTCCTTTGCCGACATCCACGTAAGCCAAACACTCCAGACCCTACATTTTTGACCCTCATACTGCATTTCCGGAGACTTTACTGTAGAGGAAGCAGGCATAATGATTTCACCCTGTCTCATCCCACTTACTTTCTCCTCACGCTCAAGCTGAATTGATTTTACGTCAAATAGTGTCTTCAATTTCCGGAGTTTTGCCTCGCAACCATCTTCATTCCCATTTCCATCCGCATTAGCACTAGCATTTTGATCAGACTCAGAATCTAATGGTACATAAATCAAAAGTTGCTGCACCGCATATCCCGCAGGGTCATAGACTCCCTTCTCAGACGTCTGAGTAATTTTCGGCGCGATGGGGAAGTACGGGAGGTGGGGTTCTAGGATCTTGGTGAGGGTTGCTAGAGTGTGGGAATCTGGGGTTGTTAATATCGTTTATTACCATTTGATATGAGTGTTACTCACGGATAACAAGAATTCCACTTTCTACGGTATCGTGCGTAAAACCTACGGAATCAGCTTCTGATAATTCGGAAGAGGTGTCCGAATCAGGTGGAGTGGTGGAGAGGGTTTTGATAAGTTGGGTAAAGTGTTCAATGGTGTTTTCGGCGGAGAGATCGATTTCGAGGAGGTAGGTTGGCATGCTGGGTGGTGAGTGGCGCAGCTGTGTGGAGTGACGAGAGTTGGATGGATTGGAGGAGGAGAGGATTATCGCTTTCGTTCTTGCGTTTTCAGATCAAATAATCTGGTTGCGGGAATGGCATTTGAGAGTTTTAGTTTGGTGAGAGAGATTGTTTTATATCAATACCGTGGTGATTTCTGGGAGTGCTGCAGGCAGGCGACTGAAATGAGGCTGGTGCTTATGGAGTGGGGGATTGGGATGAAGGATTATGTACAGTCAGCAGGTACGAAGGTGTTAGGATTTATCAAGGGACAGATGTATTATTATCATTGCCAGATTTTTGATTGCAAAACATAAGTGAATTGAGATCCTCTTGAAGGGAGTACGTTTGTTTCTTGGTGGGGCATGGTGTTTACAGGTGCAGTATCGCTAATCAAGCGCTAAAATTTCGAAAGGGGTACCGTTTCCCCAGCGAATAGATTTTTATATGATGGATGTTCGAATATGCTTATTATTTCTGACCTAAAACAAATGAAACTGTGCAAGCTGTGAATTATATCCTATCCAGTAGGCCAAATCAATTCTTTCACCCGATGTCCCTGAACACAGACCGTCGATTCGCCTTCCTAACCTTGCGCTATATCCTATGTTTAGCCAGTTGCAACCCCTCGTCCATATTTCATTCAAGATGCGTCTTATCTCCATTTAAAATGTTCAAAACTGCCATCTACCCAGCATAATGTGTCCCCATCTCACCCCAAGCTTCATCATCTCCCCTCTCCATACTAGCCTTATGTATTTCATAGTCCTCTTCATCTCTACCTCGATCTCCAGAATGAGTCCTTCTTCCCCTAATGCTCTCAAAATCTTCTCGCACGTCCCATTCAGTCGTACGTCTAATAATCATCTTATCACTACCAACCGTACTCCGTTCCGCGGCATCATCTGGTGTCGAACGTCTAATATGCGCGATAGTCATTGCTCCGTCAGGTCTCAATGTGCCAATTTCCTCGCCTTCATGACTCAGCTTCCCATTCGCATTTGTATTATTGAATCGAATGCTAAACATAGGTGACGATCTCTTTAGATTAGAATTTGGAGATGTGGTAGTAGGAGTGGAGATTTCGTCATCTTCATCGTAGTCTTGAAACGTTGATATAGTGCGAAGCTCTTGTGGTGGCCTCGAAGAATTCTTCTTGGAGGCTTTCCAACCAGATCGAGAAGAGATGAAGGTGCTTAATTTTGAATTGGAGGGGGATTGCTTGTTGCTGTAGGATGAATCCATTGGATTGACAGATGCGGCAAGACCACCAGACGACATTGATTCCATAAATGGTTTGAGGAATGATAGGCATGCGAAGAAAATGGCAGAGTTTAGTTGGACGGACGTCCAGAGGTAATTGTGATAGGAAGCGAGTGTTTGATTCGGAAGCGTGGGAGATCCCGAAGAAGAAATCACGACGAGTCGCACTATTGATAAGGGTAAAATGCTGCCAGATCATTAGATTATCTACCTACTGTGAGAATACCAAATCTCCACTTACAAAATTCTAGTCCCAAATGCTATGAAAACAAGGACTTTACGCCTCAATGGCATTTGGAGCCCCCAAACTAGAAATATCGGCAACAATATGATGTCACAATCAGTTGCTATTTCAAAGGCTCCAATAGCTTTCCAGAATACGCCCTTTTTTTGTTAGCTATTTGCGACAAGGTAAATACAGCGACTCAGCTTACGACATTGAAACATTTGTCGGTGAAAAGAATGGCCCAAGGTTCCGGCATGTCGCACTGGAACAAAATAGAAAACTCGGCGCTTAAAGCCCATAATATTACACATATCTCGGTAAGTCGGTTGAATATTGCGTAATTGGAGTCCGGCGTTAAAGCTCGTAGATAGAACAATGTACTTAGTTTCGCAAAGCAGAGAGTTGGAATATAAACCAATTGAGATGCGTAAGCATACTGTCTCGAAGTCAGAAAGAATGCACAAATGTTTGAGTGAAGACCAAAATTTCTGACGGAATATCAAACATCTTGAGAAGAACAAACTTTTTGGTACTTTTCCAGCTCCTTCCTGTCGAGAGTATCTTGATCCCGCCCAAGTCCATTATCAACCATCATTGAAAGAAAAACACTATGACAGATCCCAAAGAACTAGACTGTTAGTGTTGCTCTCGAATTTGACGTGCGATAATATACTAACCATCGCAACTATGATCAAACTATCGTCTGTACTCCATCGCCTTACAACCATAAATTTACTCCCAAGTCTCGCACCAACACTCAGTATCATTGTACTCAACCCTATCCATGATGCAAGATTAACCGCAGGGCCTTCATTATGGCTCGATATAATGATTTGTCGTGAGAATATGGATATCGATGTCATTGTAAGAATAATCAAGAGATTGTAAAGGATGTGGATGAACGGCAATGAAGTGAGATATACATCTCTCCAATGACAATACTTGCATATATCTGTCAATTGCAAAAGAACTTGTAACTTTCTGAGTAACGGAGTAGAAAAAAGAACTTTGCTGGAACAATGCAAGGGAGCGCAGCTTCTTGGTACATGTGGATGGCATTTAGAAAAAGAAATCCTGTAGTCCCGAGTTTTTGGTACTTGCTCTCGGTCATGTCAGTGGCATCTATGATGAATCTGTTGATAAAAACGACATTAAGTAAAACCTCAATCACTAGATCAATTCCTTCACTTCAATTCAATTCAGAAATTTGGTAACAGCTATTCGAAACTCCGTAGAGCCCAAGTTTTGAGAGCTTCTGAGGCGTTGCAACTGCAATAAAATCCCCATGAACACTTGCTCGCTCCTTGATCCCAGACATCGACACCACATTTCGCTCAAGCTGTGCCAAGACATGGCGATCATGCACGACAGAGTTGGGATCCAAACAAACTTCTCTTTCATATTAATTATTACCTTGGACCTTAGATGAAACGATTCAGGGTCCTTAACAGCGCCATACGTGTTGATTAGGCTACATAATATTGTTGACTTGGTATTAATGGGATATAAATCACAATGTTGGGTAACCACAAGTCTAGATGCTGGACCTAATTTGTCGTACGACTCAGCTACACAGGATCTGTCATGTGATAATCAATTAAAGATACGGAGCATAGTCCCGTACCTACAATATTGAATATTCACATATGCTTGATTGGTCGGCGATCGGACAAGCCGATAAAAAGACGAGATAATTTCCAGACAGCCGGGAATTTTGTACTGAGATTTGAGAGATGCTTGATCGGCTCGTTAATTCGAGTGACAATAGTGGATGCAGATATTCTAGCCTTTTGCCAAGTTCAAGAACAATCCGATATCACATTTAAAAGGTCGCCCAAACGGCTTTATGCTCGTCGTTATAATAAGGTGAGATAGTGAGATAAATGTTGGACAGTTAAATGTGTGTAATACGGCGGCGATGAGGCGTCTATCAAATTAATCCTCCGCATGAACTAGCATTTGCCGAACCCACGTGAGACGCTAACCTTGATAGGAAAGGCTCCCCCGCTAAGCCCGTTACTATTATAACCACCTAGTAAAAAGCCGAGAAAGCTAACATTGCTCCAGATTCTACAATTTGTTTCCTTCCAAGCTGGAGCGGAGTTTGATCAAAATGCATATTCGGATATCCCTTGCACCAGTAAACGTATCATAACATACAGACAACCTCGCTACCATCTGGTGCATCGGATATTTACCAAAATGGTTGCAATGAGACAGTTTATCCTGCGGGTGGTGTCAAGGATTTCTTTTCCCCTGTCTGCCACTCGGTGATCCATGCAAGGGTTTTATTCTGCAGACTGCAGTGTATTTTGAAGAAGGGCAAATAACTCTTAATCCCCGTTATAATTTTCTTTTGTTTTATTTCTCTTCATTTCCATTGCTATTGTTTGTTGTTCACGAGCTCGCGCGGCGATTGGCATTTTTCTGATAGAACTATTTGATCTTAATCATGGAAGACAAACATGTGGAATTGGGTGTGATGGCTAGGTCGACATCTTCTGATGAAATACCCCATGCCCGCTCGAAAGGCAACACCAGCAGAGATGATCAAGAAATGGCGTATTTTGGAAAACGTCAACAGTTAAAGGTATGTGCCAAAGAGAACTACCATCAACAAAAGCTGAAATAATGTAGCGTAACTTTGGCTTTTTGTCAATCGCAGGATTTGTCTGTAGTCTGCTTTCAACATGGGAAGGAATGTTCGCCGTCTTCCTGTACGGGTTTCAAAATGGAGGACCGGCAGGCTTAGTTGTAAGCTTCCATTTCAATCTTACCTGGACTCAAACTTTAGTAGCATATACTAACGTGAGATTTCCAGTACGGTTATATTTTTTGCTTCTTTGGAACATTATGTACTGTTGCAAGTTTGGCAGAGATGTCTTCCATGTGCGTATAGCCTTCCTATCGCGAGTTCATAAATCTGACAGGCGGACTAAGGACGCCATTGAGTGGCGGCCAATATCACTGGGTTTCGATTCTTGCACCCAAATCTCACGCTAAATTCCTTTCATACATGACAGGCTGGCTTACAGTTATTGGCTGGCAAGCAGGTCAAGCAAGTGTAGCTTTCCTCTGCGCAACATTGATCCAGGCTTTAGTGATATTGAACCATCCAACTTACGTTCCTGAAAGATGGCAAGCAACTTTGATATTCTATGCTGTTCTAGCTTTCATTCTGTTCGTCAATACGTATTTGGCTCGTTGGTTGCCAAAGATTGAAGGATTTGTTCTTTGCATACATATTCTTGGATTTTTTGGTATACTTATCCCTCTAGTCTACCTTGCACCCCATGGAAAACCAAGCGATGTTTTTGCTACATTTATCAACGGTGGGGGTTGGTCATCAAATGGAACGTCTTTCTTCATTGGCTTGATTACTTCCGTTTTCTCGTTCCTCGGTAAAGTCACCTTCTTCGTTCATACTCTCTACGTTCGATGTCAGGACAGAGCTAACATTGTCTCAGGAGCTGATTCTGCTTGCCATATGAGTGAAGAAGTTCACAATGCCTCTACAGTCATACCCTGGGCGATGATCAGTAGTATTGTCTTAAATGGCGTTCTGGGCTTCGCATTGCTTATAGCTCTTCTCTTTTGTCTAGGGGACATCGATGTTGCTCTGACCTCTCCTAGTGGCTTTCCATTCATCGAGATATTTAGGGGGGCTACTAATAGCAACGCTGCTGCCACTGGTATGACTTTAATTATAATATTCATTCTCCTCGCCGCGGCAATTGGTATCATGGCGACTGCTTCCCGTTTATTATGGTCTTTCGCTAGAGACAATGGAGTGCCAGGTAGCGCATATATATCTCGCGTAAGTATAGTTAATCAAACCCTCTGATCCTTTTTGACTAACGTTCTGACTGCAGGTTCATGAACCAACGGCATTGCCCATATACTCTATTTTTGTCAGCGCAGTCATTTCGCTCCTGTTGGCACTCATAAATATTGGAAGTACTGCAGCATTCAACTCAATTGTCTCTGTTAATGTCGCCGCATTTTTTACCAGCTATATGATCCCAAGTAAGTAAACCGCCCACAATTCTTTTGCTTCTCCTAATTCTATCCCCAATTGACCCTCCACTATTCCGCTTCATCCCATTTATTCGTTCTGCTTCAATGCTTCATTGGTTCAGACTTGCAGGCTGGATGGGATAGCTCAGAGTTCAAAAGTGGTTCAGTTCAATATTTGAAATGATTCCAGTGATTCAAACCGTTTGAAAGTTCTAACCCAATTAAACGTTTCAAAGCATCTGAATGCTCTGATCAAATTCAGAAATTCGGAGCCTTCCATTTTGGAACTGCAGTCTAGGCTATTGAAAATCCTGTTTAATTTTTTAGTATAACATCTGCTCCTGATTCTCTCATATTGCTCCAAAATCTTTTCTTGATAGGCAATGTTAATAATCTGATCTTATAGTCATCTTGATTCTCAAGAAACGCCTTCGAAAAGACCCAATCAAAGACAAAATACATTGGGGACCATGGAAACTGGGTCCAATTCTTGGTCCAACTGCCAACATCGCTGGACTGATTTATTCGACGATCACCATGTTCTTCAGCTTCTGGCCTAATACCCAAGCCGTTACTCCGGTTACCATGAATTGGTCTTGCCTTATTTTTGTTGCTGCTATTCTCTATAGCGTGGTTTTTTACATGATTTGGGGTAAGCACGCTTACAAGTGGCCAATTGTTGATCCTATCAGAAGACGGCAGTAAATCATCACATTGTTTTTATTCGACGGATTTATCGATCATTTCTTGGCTACTTGCATTAGATTATAGATCTTGTAATTCTCATTAGACAATGGAAAAGTTCGGCGAACTCGCAGACTAGCATTTTTTATCTATCATAATTCAGATTTTTTGTCGTTTATGCAGTTTTCATGCAAGCCAGCTCCCACAGCACGCCACATCATCAAATCCTCGAAAGAATTCCATACATCGCAGAACATCGGATCAAGAGCACAAGAAGGGTCTATCATCAAAATTTATAAACTTAAGGCCCCATTTGACCCAATATTTGTATGTAGTATTGCCGTCTGCCGATTGGGTTCCAAACCGTCGGGAACCAATTCAATCATCTCCTTTAAAGCGAGCGAATTGATGAAAAATAGAGTTCTTCGAATGATCAGAGCTTTCTGGGGCCTGGATAAACCGTTTTGCTTGGAAGTTCAAATAATCCAATCAGCTATTATCACATCATCTTCGCAGCCACGCCTTCAATGGATAGTCGCGCTGGAACTATTATATATCCGTACATTGCCCACATTAATCTACTTCCCCCTCTTTCATAAGCAAATTCACAAGAGTCACATTCTCCTTGGCCTAGTCCTGGCTCAACGGCTTATCCATACCTACAGGCTTGTTGATCCTTCCGCTTAAAACTATGCTTGTCCAATTTTTGCCTATTTCACTTCTGTCTTGGTATCCTCGCTGCTTTGTCGCTCCCTGTGCATCAACTGATTTAAGCACATCTTCTAACAATTTGTCAAACTCGCGCAAGGGTTCAGGACTTTCAGATTCTTTCCCAGGCATGAGAATTAAAACTTAACCTGTAGGAGTCCCGGTATCGACCACAGTAGTATTATATAAGCCGATTTGTGGGTTACGAACGGGTGGCGTCTGAGTCTGTGTGTATGCATATTTCGAAATTGTGCCTTTGATAGGCCATTATTGGTGATTTATTTCATGATTAATTTCAATTTCCGGATCGGCTGCTCGTTCCGTATGATTAACATTGTAATGTGATGGAAGGGTGATCGGACATTTCCTGTTACTACCTCATCGTTGTCAGCATCAAAGGAATAAACAGCTGTCCTTTTTTCTCTCATAGTAATCCCCGCAATCTTCTCCATAACCGTAAAACATGGTATCCCGCGCAACTTCCCACCCCTCCACCAGTATCCCTCATCCTGTTCCTATCAACGTTTCGAATTCCAGTCTCCGCCTTCTTCCTGGTGATCCACTGACAGACGGTCCAGCTATCCTGGCTCAACAGATTGCCGCTTTCAGTAATCCACACGAACCATTCTTTTTTGTCTTATTTCCTGAAACGGAAGAGAGAGAAAAGGCGGTTGAAAGATTAGTTGATAATTGGGTGAGAGATGAGAAAGCCAAGTATGTGAAGGTTGCTGATGGGCATGGTATGCTTGAACTTTATTTCAATTCTCTGCTGTGCTGTTCAGTTGGGGTGTAGTTCAAGAGGTTAAGGACACAAGTTTGAAGGATACTGATACTTTATCAAGGAACTCTTATAAGTGCAGCGAAATGGCTCATAAATACAGAACCATTGAGCGAGGAGCAGAAGAAGCAAAGAATTAATGTTGACTGGCACCCTGATCAAGATTCAAATGAATGGGCTGAGTATCTAATAAATTGGATTCATCAACATCAAATTAATCGAACAAAAGGCGAACCTTGCGTTAGTAAGTTCTTTTTTCTCTTTCTCCTCCTGTCTCCATCTCAAGTTCTGATCGCCTCCATAACCCACATCTGCATTCCTAATATCTCATAGTCCTCGACATCTTAACCACACATCCATCTTACCAACGTCTCGGAGCTGGTACGCTCTTAATGCAATATGGTACCGCCATAGCCGATTCCCTCGGTCTACCAGCGTATATCGAGGGGACAGTGATTGCGAAACATTTATATGAAAGCCATGGGTTTAAAGCAGTGCCGGATAGGTATATCGAGGTTGATGTGCCAGAGAAGTGGAAGGAGAGGGAGGAAAGGCCTAAGATTGAGTTCTTCTTTTATGAAAGACCAAGGAGTAGGGGGGAGTTATGATCTAGATACTCGTGGGAGAGAATCAATAGGTAGCGGTTGGCAAGATGCGGATCTATGAAGTGAATACTCAAGAGCATGCGGATGCTATTCGAATGAGTGAATCATGGTTTTGATGGTTCCTTTGAGGAAGATTCAATCAATATTTTATCGAATGTTGATTAGTTCATGCTCAGCTATTCATAGTAATGGGCTTATTCTCTGCAATGATGAGCTCGCTAGTTATGCAATATACCCACAAGTCTTTTAGACAGCACATGCCATTCACGTACCTTCCAAGAGCATCATTCACCCATCGCTTAATATCTTTTTTAAGAACAGCTTCTGCTGTGAACAAACTTTTACTACCTACCTAGGTAGCTGGATACTTAAGAGATGTAGTCCAGCAGTGCCTAGAACCTTCGAATCACGCGAGCTCGACAGGATCAGCTGGCAAATCACAAGATTCTCAACTTATTTCCTTATCTTTACATTTTCCTATCAAACATATTTCCATCTCTTCCCAAACGTAAAGCTAGACCGTGCTTCAATTAGGTCTTGGTAATTATGAACTAGATAGGACGTTGAGAAGTAAGACGTGTCTACTATTGAATTATCCAGCACTCTATGCACTCCCTGATCCGGCATCTCTCGCAAGGGAAAGTGCTATGGTCTGATCTTTTCACAAGAATGATAGCAGCAAGAATTTTTTAACGACAATAATGAAAGTGTTACTCTTGTGAACCTCGGATGGAGATGATTGTACGAGCAGAAGGGAGGAGACCTTAGGTCAGAAATTAGCCGCTGAATAAGTAGAGCAGAAAGCTGAAGTCAGCAGAGAAACCATTTACCAATATTTTGAATTTGTCGTACTTCTCTTGTATTTGTCGTACTTTCCTTGAATATGGGTTACGCAGCAGTCTCTACCACTGGTACATAAATGTCCTCCTGAATTTAGATAGTCGACGTTAGTGAATTCTCTGTCACCACAGACGCAATTCGCATAGTTACCTAGTTATTCAGTCAAAGCAAGTAGGAACCAGCCCCGCATCTACAAAGTATAATCATACGATATGTCATTTGATTTTTCATTCACCCGATTTGAATACCTCAGCTCCACAACCGAGAAATTGCGAAAATACCTGGCTTAAATAAGACTGAACCACGAACAGAACTTTCTGAGGTATACCACCAGATGATGGATAACGACAACGCTCAAGCAGTGTGTCTGCACGTCTGACTGGGTCTCTTTGTAATGAGGAAGGGAAATTGCTAGAAGTTCTACTGTTCTGAGCTGCTATTCTTGGGTAAAAGTCTTCTTAGTTGTGACTATCGTCCCATGATAGACTACTTTATTGGTGAAATCGACAACGAAAAGTACGGATTTAACGACATTAACAGGTTTTCTTGGATACCATCAAACGATATCTTTCTGAACCCTATCATATGATAGAGCCCATAGTCATAGAAGTATCAGCCTAAATTTGCATGGCCATGGTTTTCACTACGAAGTCTTAAATATCTGAACTCGAGAAGGACCTGAGTTTTTAAATAGGTACGTATCTGAAGGATGCGAGGAGGGGCTTGCTCAAGTGAATAGATTCTCTTCATTGATAAACTTGCACATACCCATTCACTACCTACCCCTCCTTCTACATGCATCATACCACTTATCACTACAAGTCCGCACATTTACCTCTCTCTCTCTCTATATATATATACCAGCCTCTCTACCAGCCTCTCTATAAATACAATTCCTCCAAGCCTCAATATCCAAAAGTGCAATATTACCATATACCTAACAATATCACAACATGTTGGTTCTTCTCATTAGATGCCTTCATGACCCACGTCTTGTGCTTGATCGACATAATGAAGGATTGATGGAATTTGAATCTTCGTTACTTCCGCAACGACCAGGCACGTCAAACCTGTCTTTTCGCAGTTTCAAATATGATCTCATCTCATCTCCTGAAGCTTTGTGGGGAATGACAACACTGGTTGTAAAAATGATAACCAAAATTTGCTTTCCTCTCGTTGTGTTGCAGAATCCCATCTCTCGATTTGCAATCAATCGTGTAGATGAAACCCCCGTGAATCTGACCTGTGGTCAGACGCGGAGAGTGTGTATTTATATAAAGCTCGTCATTGTTCCCTTGTACCTGGAAAGTTGAAAATGTTATTTGTAGTGGTATATGTCTATATATAGGTATAGGTATGTACCGTAAAACTGATCAGGTATCTCCCTTGATATAAATAAAATCAATAGTATTCGCTCCCAAAAATCATCAGCTTTCCTCCTTCCCACATGCCCATCTATACATCATTCACTCAATCAGGAGGGTTACTTAAGAACGCATAAGCGCTCGACCGTGGGCGGTAGGCAGTCGAATAGTCCTAAAGAGAGAGGTCGATGGTCGAAGCGGAAGTGGCAACTGTTTATTACCAAAAAGGAGAAAGCTCAGAATTAATGGAATTGCAATCGTGAAAACTGGCATACATTACTCACTCTCTTGAAAGTAAAAGGTGTTCAACAAGGAATCTTCCGACAATGATCATACCAAATGATTAAACAGCATAAGAAAACAGCATCAAGTTCGAAAGCGGCAACGGTGAGAACGCAAATATAGTACTCAGTATGATACCGGGATACCAGGATACCGTCGATTTCTTATGTAGAAATGCTCTCTGATAGTATGGTCCAATGATACCTCGAACATTCTGCTCCTCCCTACTTTTGGTATAAAGCTGTCTTTCTTGGTCTAAACAGGTTGCGTAGAGAATTAGGAAAGGCTGAGCTCTTATAGAGATGTTCTTTCGGTGCATTCCCGGTGAACAATTTGACAAGCTCGAAATAGCCACAGAAACATGTATGTGTGACTAATTAAGGCGTAGGAACTGAAATAAATAGCTAATCGATTCCTCAGATTGGCAGAAACTCAATGACCAGAGTCGCCAGAGAGATGGATGGGCAATCTCGCTGGTTTAGACCCATAACCATGAACAATAAAGTATTTGCAGAATATTCCTCATTTCGAAATCCTTTGAAGAATTCCACCTCATTCAATCATCTGAGGAGAATATATATAAAAATGACAGAAAGATACACATCTTCGACGACGGCAACAGCAAAGATTAGACATAAGTCAACTACGATAGAGCTTCCGCTTTCATTCGTCGCTGTCTACTTCGCAATGGAAGTACAATGTATGTCAAGCCTCACATTCAATCGCCTTTCTTACCCAAAGGAAAGCTGTTGTGGAGAAATGAAACCTCGTGCTCGAGTATTTAACTTTGACGCTTAGTGTTTCAGCGGGTCTCCTGGAAAATTGGGGAAATTGTGAATCATCGAATTAAGGCTCTACTGTATTTACCATGTTTCCCCGCCTATCCTATTGTAAAGTAAAAAATACTGTAGAAGATACGGTGAGGTTGAGACTAGCTCATTTCTCACAGCTCAATGGGCGGTTGCTAGCTTGATATGCTCGCGTAAATGATGTGAGAAACCGAGAAACTCAATGTCGTTGCTGCATTACCTCACGGGAGATCTCAATAATCTCTGACTTGTTCAGCATCTCTCTGTTATTTGAGACATCCAAGTCGCTTTGACAGAATTGTATCTCTCTTCCTCCTCAAGCTCATCGAGTCTTCCAAACACATGAAGATGAATCCAAATATCGGGTGCATGGAAAGTGATGATTCATCTGACACTCAATCAAGATCACCACACCTCCCCTTCTTACCCAAGCATGAGTGAGGGTGAGTACGATCACTTCTTCAAACAAGAAGTGAACCTACCTGAACGCGAATGGGTCTACTCAATGCCACCACCATATTTTCAAGAACACATAGACGGAAAGGATTTCGGATAGTTTTTCTAAAAACATTGAAGGTATACGAGTAGAGATTCTCGAATGTATGACAAACCTTCTCTAACCAAATCTAATTATCTAAGAAGCCAGAAAGTGAATCCCAATATAGTAGAAAAGTACTCACCACTACAACCACAACAAAAACCTACCCAAACCAAATAACATCAGACGATATCCAATACCAGCAACACCAGCACCACCCACCACAACCACCAAAACCACCCAAATCTCCAAACACCATCTCGGAGGTAACTTTTCAAATCCCTCTTATTCCCAGTCGATGTAACTTTTCGAAAATTTAAGGGAATTTGGCATGGTGACCGTTGGAAAACTTTACCAAAAATTGAGATGTGCAACAAAACTTTTTGGAATTTTCAAGGGTCGATTTAATTGGTTAAAGAGTGGGGAGTAAATCTGGGGAAGAAGGCGGTGAGGGGTTGGGGAATTTGCCGTTGGGGGGGTTTTGGCGGGGAGAGGAGGGGAGAGGTGTTGGGAGTGGTGTTGGGAGTGGGAGTGGGGGAGGAGGATGAGGATGAAGATGAAGATATTTACATGTATTGCACTTTTAACGTTAAAAACTCTTGGAGTATCAACACTGTATGGTTTTTTTTTAGTAATGCACATTATTTCTTAACTATCGTATAGCTTCTATACCTAGTTGTTGTGCCTTTAATGCCATTTAGACGAAGAGACGTTGTATCAGAGTATCTTAAAGGGTGAGGCAATGCGATTTGAAGCCCATGATTACCTAGTATAATCCTTTCCTACCAACTACACAGAAGCGAGGAAGAATGATAGCTTCTGAGTGGCGAGTAGGTGCGTCTGCGTTGCCATTGCGTTTTCTCACTGCTGCATAACAAATCTAGTCAACAAATACAAACGATGAGAAATCTCATTGGACCTGGCAGCTCCCTCTCCCATCTCAATCTTTTGATCGCTCAAGGTATGTCTGTAGGCATGTAAAGTAATGACTTTCACGAGAGATACCGCACTAGACTCTTAGAAATAGATATGTCAGAGATCCTTACTTACTGCACTTGTGATTGATCGAGGTGTTTTTATAGTCTACACCTGAAAATCAAAGGCGGAAGATATGAGAAAGCGCATGGAAGATCAGACTACATTCCATTTTGATCCATCGATTTTACCCTTTTACATAGTACCTACTAGGTATGCAATGGAACCGTAGCACAGACTATTCACGGTCCGGCCTTGGACTCCAGATATAAAAGCTCGCGGTTATGTTGGATATCGAATTCCAGTATGGCTAAGTGGACAATGTACTGTTGTAGCAAGGTTTGTGGAACTGGACGTGCCATAGTTCAATCTTTGTTTCTTTTTTCGTATTTCTTTACCACCGAATCTAGAAAATAAGAGAGAATGCTCTGAGTGCATAGTCTTTTGGTTGAAATAGAAGACAACAAAGATGGATCCAACAATGAGACATACATTGTGACAGTAACGATTTCACTTCCGACGAGCGACAATGACCTATGAATAAATTGACATCTCAAAGCTCTCCTTAACAAGCATTCTCTCTCAGCATGCAAAGGGTATCTAGAAGGAAAGAAATCACATTGATCTTTTAGTCGCAAAAGGTGACTCCAAAAATTGCAAGAAAAAGTCAAGCCTAGAGACTCATATATAGTCAGGTGCCCGAGATTCTGGATCTTATTTTGAGAGCATGTAAGCAATCTTATTTTCATCACCTTGGAACAACTTGCTTCTCTTTTCAGAAGTAAAAACATGCTGGCAATCATCCCTTCAATATTACTTTGAGAATCCGAGGTTAAGCCTACAATCGCAGGGAATTTGAAAATACGCACGTCTACTACTCACGACTTCCGGGCCTAGCATGATAAATCCATGTCGGGCGAGCAAGAATCTTAGTGCGATCTTGCTTCACTAGGGCTGAGGTTACTAGCATTTAGAGGTTAGAGGATTTGCAGTACTAAGCAAGAGCATCAAGGCTAAGCGCAATGGTGATCGATGTGTAGATTTAGAGACAGCAATAGCTCAAAATGACGGTGAATGCTTCAAGGGGGTCTGCGGTGAAAACTTCACATTCCCAAGGTCTCAAGTTCGTGTTGTTGCTATAGTAATAAGCGTAACTTCGGCAGGACGAGCAAGGTCTTAGAGGGACCTGTCCCAGTTTGCAAGAGTGCTAGCGTATATTTCTAGCTTATCAAAAGCAATCGACAGCGTTAAATATCCAATCGTTGGATAATTGCACCAACACAGCCTACAGTCACGACGTAAATTATTTGGTAAGCAATCAATACGACGATATGATTGGACATTCGCGCGTCCGACTGAAGAGAACTAACCAATAAAATCCCCCATAGAAAAGGGTAGGTTTATGTGGGTGGCAAAAGTTGTAATAAATTAAAAGAGGTAACTTTAACTCGAGAGATGATCTCTTATATACCCCACTCATTAGTAATACGCTTCTCCGCCTTTCTTCCCCTATCAGCTGACCCTCCCCCGCAAAAGTAAATTTCCTTGGTTGTAACGCATTGAAAGCCAGATATGACATCAATAAACGACGCTAATCTCGAACCATTACCTGCGTGCAATCTTATACATAAACCGGTCAATAACTTATGATAATCTCACCACAACCACATTTTCCCTACTTTCATCAACTGTGAAAGACTTTTGAAGAACACAAAGCACACGACATCACACAATATACAACACCACGCACAAAGTATCAGATATTCAATCAGTAATTATGTTCCAGAATACTCTCGCCTTCCTTCTTCAATTCTTCTTCTTCGCTTTGGCATTTGCTCAACCGATTGAAACTGCTGGACATGGCAATGCATGGAAATATGGTTCTGGTGGTGGAGTGATTGGATTTATCGTATTGATTCTTGATATTATCGTTTTCAGTATGTCTCCCCCCTTCCTTCACCTCCATCTCATTCCTTCAATCGAATCAATCTAACCACATATCTCCAGTCGAGGTCCTTAAATCCAGCCGTCCTCCTTCCCACAAGCTTCTTTGGTGCTTGGTCGTTTTCCTCTTCCCCATTCTTGGTTTGGTCGTCTATTGGTTGTTCTCGAATAGAGAGGCACATAACTCTGGAAGTGGTTCGTATGAAGCTATTCCTTGAGTAGATGAGGCTGTGCAATTCGTGGTGGTACTATTGGGTGATGTTGTGACGAACACAGATGAGATGAGAATGATGAAGGAGTTTTGGTGATAATGATCATGGCATGGATGGCTTGCGTTAAGGGATTGTTTTCTGGCATACACGACTAAGTGGCTTTGGGGATTGCGATTTGAGGAAATTGTGAATGGAGTATGGAATTATACTAGCATATTATAATGAATGGATTCAGAACAATCGCAATCTAGTTCGGATCAGTCAGAACGGTCTATCTACACACGATTTGCGACCTTTATCATTGTCTCCCAGGTCATTGAATCCCGATTGAGATTTAGCTATCAGATACTCATAACATAACATGTGGATATACCACGGCGTCTTCAAGTGAAGTCTCTAACATCTACTCTAGATCATCCATATTAATGAAGGATTGGAAGAGATTGGCGCAAGATTATCACTATAACATCTCATTGTTGCCTTGCTTCACCGTAACTCTTCTCCAGCCCTAAATTCCCAACTCACTCGTGCCGCTCTATCCACTAGTTTCAGAAATGTTAAAACGGCGCTGTATCTTCACTGCAACGATCACAATTCTAGCTGACTCAGCATTAGCGTCAAATATAGCATGCCATTCTTCTTTCCTATTTTCCGAGGAAATGGTCATGGTTATTACTTATCAAGTCGTCGGCTTTCTCTTCAAGTGTAGATTTCTTGAATGGCTTTGAGAACTGTTTAATGGAATGTGAGATTGATCTCTAGACACTGAATTTCGTTGACTTGATGATTTTGAATGTCGATACTGATATCGAATGCAGAGATATTGGTGAGTTCTGGATTTTGAATTAACTGTTGAATAATGTAATGATCGAGATAGTCATATCTACTGATTACGAGCACGGGATTTTGAGAAGTTGCAGGCATGAAGTTGGATTTGGAAGCTGCTGGAAATTATTGAGACGGAATCGTAGTGGAATATTAATGGGGGGGTTTTTTATATTGATGTGATGACGAAAGCGAGAAAGCTCGATCAGTATCGAGACATGTTATGTGATGAGATGTTTTTCGGATTCTGCGATGACCTGATTCATAACAGGGCAGATTCACAAACTGTTAGTTACGCTATCCTTGAGTCAGTAGCAGGGCGCGATTCGATACCATTCATGAAGCCATGGCGTTTTTAATATGCTGTTTTAGAGCGTCTTGCGACGGAGCGTGGGCCCCCTATTTTTGGAAGAAACAAAGAGGGAGAGAAGGGGGAGAGTAGCGCATGAGCCGTGCTTGAACATCCTTCTCTTTCGATGAGGATTGCTCGGCTCTTCTTTAGTCGATTTCATGGTATTGGTCATTCTGTGTATTCGTGAAGAAGATTCTTGCTTGTCGTCAATGAATCTCGAAGTTCTATTAACTGTATATCATATCTCACATTTCACATTTCAGGATTGTTCACAGCAAGCGAAGAACAAATTACTTGGAAAAGGACAGGTCAAGCAGAACCGTTTGAACTGTCTACAACTCTTAGAAAAGAAGTAATACATATCAGTCCTAGTAAATTAACCGAAGGTGTGTCTTTTAAAATCCTGATAGGCGGTTTATCTCAGTCTATTTAGACAATCATTCATCTAGCTACTCACATGTACATGAATTGAACGAACTCCAAATGTATTGATGATTGCGGGGTCCAGAATAGTACATCTACTTCTCTCATTCTTTCCTGGAGCAGTTAAACATTCATCCAGTGTCTCTGAAAAAAGAACCCGCATCAAAGGGAGATACAGCGTAGTGTGGATGAAGAATCAAGCCATACTCATGCCCATACTATGGTCAATAACAAGTACTCACTCAGCAGATTTGTGCCATCGAATATCGACGCCTTCTACTATATATCTATCTATCCAGTCCAAGCAAAAAGCCAGGTGCGAAGGAAAAAAATTGTAGAATAAACACCGTGATCAAATACCTTGACCGAGAGTCCCAAAAGCCATAGAATACAAACGCCAAAACAGCGCACTTTCTTGATAAAATGAATATGTTTGTGTATTTGTGGGAAGATATATACTGTCTAGAGAGAATAAATGAGAGAGCGATGCTCAAAATCTAATACTCAGTGTTCGTTGGATTCCTCGAGGAAATTCTGTTACTGGTTGGGATATCTCGAGGGTTTCAGATCTAGATCTGAAGTAGTTGTTGCCGTTGTTTTTGGATTTTTGCTGTCGATCTACAGTAGAATGAAGTGATATCGGATGAGTACTGTGGAAAAGTGATTCCTGTTCATTTTATTGAAATTTGGGTTGGAAATGCTGTCAATACCGCCACTTCCAGCCAAAACACACAAAAATTTGTACCAATGATTGATAGATATGGGAGCTTGATTGATAAGACAACCGCTTGACACAACCCATCGTATTGAAACGGTGGGGAAGTTTGCATGAGTTTATGTAGCCATTGAGTCTTTGTTATCCGCTTGGTATTCGAAGTATGTTGAATGTATTCACTGCTTCAATTTTGCGAATGGAAATGACTATGCAGTGATGGCCGGACATGTCCTGATGAGCTATCATGCGAAGATACGAAGTTTTTGATTCACCATCTAACAGGCCTGCTATTTGTCTAGTTTCTCTTGTAAGCTACTAATATATAAAGGGTTTCAGAACTATATTAGCAGGCTCATTGCTACCTTGTCAAGAAAGCCGCTGTAACAGAGAACAAGGATGGAGTGACGAATCATCCAGATCGCTGTAACTGAATCTTGTAACTGGGTGCCAATCCACGATATCGATATTACAAAGCTCAAAGATGAAAATATGAGACTCTGACCATTGTCAATTAGGTATTCGAACTTGTTGTCGTCCCTCAGAAATATATATCAGACCACATCTCAACAATCCTGACAAGAATTTTCACTCTCTCGATCTACTAGACTTACTTGTTTTTGAGACCCTATCGAAAAAGAAAAGAACTCCACTCGAGTCGCAGCTCCGCCTTGTTACTAGATTGTAATATTTGCAACGAGTTATTTGAGTTTGCATTAGACAAGGAGGAGTCTTTAAATATGCCCTCTTTAATTCCCAATCTCTAGAAGCCAGTAATACTTTGTCCCTTGCCCCGCTTCGTCTATTATATTCACACCAACCTACAATTCCAGAACCATCTCAGTTCACTATCACTAAAAATCAATCCACCTCCCATCATTCTATCTTGGAATTAGTATAAATAGATACACCTTCATCCATGGATATCTTTAGGATTCCGTAAACACGCAGGTTACTCAAGCCTCGATCCTCCATCGAGCTGCTGATAAAGAGGAAGGCATGGTGAGAAGTGTGATAGGGTAAACTATACTATAATATGGGTTCAAGCGAAGTGGTGGATATCGGGGAATCTAGAGTTATCATCATCTTTTTGGTCATTGATCCATGGAACAATTATGTAGGAATTCATCGCTGTCGTTTGATATTTACTTGCCATCATTCTTCTAAGCTCAGGAGGAACGAGGTAATGACAGCTAACTTTCCTGTTATCTGTAATGGAAGCCTTTTGGAAAGAGTCGAAATCATCCACCTCAAAACCCGATAGAAACCATATACAAATGACCAGAAGCAAGAAACACACCGGAATCATCGTCCGAATCTACAATACTCTCGTATTGCAAATGTAATCAGATAGAAAGGGGAATCAACTTGCGTCTTAAACAACCGGTCCATTTGCCCCCCAAAAAATAATAAAATAGCTCAATACTAACCCGTTCATACAATTCACTTATACTGTTCTTAGGAACTGATATCCCAGCATCCACGCGATTCTCTATTCTCCATTCTCCACTCCCCCCATCTACCTGCCCCTCCTTCCACAACACCCAAACACCCCAAATATCCACTATAACAGCCCTCCCACTTCACACACTCCAGATCTTCAAACAAAATTGTCAGTATCGCTGACAATTTGAATGATGGTTTTTAGATATCTCTCTCATCCAGAAACTACGACATATCTATATCTCAAAAATAACCATACACCTGCCCAGTCTCCCTCGAGAAAAACATTCAAAAGAAAAATGAGAAAACGTTGACAAATGAGATATTTGTAACGATGATTGTTGTCACTCATTACCATCTACTTACTTGCTATCCATTCGTCCATCCGTAATGATTCTATAATAACATCCTCAAGTATCTGCATTTCTCTTCACACAAAGAATACAAAGCCGCCTACGAAGCCAGGCTTGCTCAAATCATGAGCACGCAACTGCCACGCAGACTTTGTAGGAGAACATGACGACGTGTTTCCTCTTGATTCAAACCCAACACTAACATCGCTGGAGATAGATATAGATATAGATATAGATTGAACGCAAAGGAGAAGGAACCTAAGATAATCCTATAGTCATTCGATCAGAGTATCCAGATGAAGTGAACCGAATAGTTTGTTCATACCCCGCTTTTTCTAAGTCTCTAACTCTTTCATCAGCTCAAATGATTCAGTCTAATGCATTTCATCTCAATCTTTATTCACTCAAGATCCTCTGCATCTTCCAGCTTCATTCACTTCCCCTCCCCCATTCCCCATCTCCCATCTCCCATTTTCTCTCCCCTTTCCCCTCTCTGTCTCACAACCAGCATACCAAACTCAAAAACATAAATACCCCCTCCCCTCCCCTCATCTCTTGAAAACTCCAATCACCTATTCCTCTCTTGAATCAAAGAAAGACATGTGTCCGTATTCGTGTCGTGACTGTAATAATCAATCAGGATCGATTCGATACAGAGAATTAATAGGAATTATGTATTAAAACTAGTGTCTTTTGTTTTGAAATGCTTGGTGGAGTGGATGAGGTGAGGTGAGGTGATGTGGGATTGGATTGGATTTGTTTGACTTTCTTATCGTTTACTTGTATTCATTGTCGTTTTAAAATGGGGGAAATGATGGGATGGTATGGGACGGGAATACAACTGCCTCCCCAGATAAAACACAGACAACAAAGTATGGGCTGAAGACTATACATACATACAGGCATGATTCATCGAGAGCCTTTCAAATCATTCCCCGGGAAAGATACAATACAAAGTTCATTCATATCAGCGCCATCATCAACATGTTCTCGTAAATACATAATTCCATCAGTTACAGCTCTAATATTCATCACGGTGACTTACTTCATCACTCCCACCTAAAAGTGCCCATCAATAGTCATCGTACCCGTTTTCGTAATGAGGTACTCGTTAACCGCGACATCTTTCCCAGATTCCTTTCCATATCCTGATTCTTTGATTCCTCCAAATGGTGATTCGGCTGCGGATGCATTACCTATAGTTGAATAATTAGCATAAATATCTGATATGGAGGTATGAAGAATTGAGGAGCCGAGACTACGTACCAGTATTCATACCAATCATACCAGCCTCTAGGTCTTCGAGAAGTCGCCATGTACGATCAATGTTCTTGGTGAAAAAGTAAGATGCTAGACCCATCTATAGTAATCTTGTCAGCGCCATATCAAATACCACTTGCCGAGAAGATGTAGATAAAGCTTACACTAGTATTATTTGCCGCCTCCACAGCTTCATCCTCCGTATCGAAAGAATACAAAGCTAAGACTGGCGCGAAAGTTTCCTCCTCCGTGATCAACATCTCCTTCTTTGCACCCAAGATAATTGTCGGCTCGAAGAAATACCCAGTAGTGTCCTTTACCTTACTTCCTCCGAGTACAACTTTTCCACCATGCTTTTTGGCATCTTCGACTTGGTTTTCTGCTTTGTCGATACTCCGAGGAGTGGTAAGAGGACCGATTGTAGTTCCTTCTTTTGCTCCATGGCCGATCTTGAGTTTGGAAGTTTTTCTTTGATTAGAGAAGCAAAGGAATCGTAAACACCAGATTGTACATAAACGCGGTTGGCGGTTATACAAGCTTGACCGGCATGTCGCCATTTGAGGGCCATGAGAGCTGGGTATATTAACAAGCTTTTCAAAAAGACGTTCAGAAGTATAATCAGTTGTCAGAGACACAGGTTATAGCCCCCTTCACTAAAAAGTGAGTCACGTACCATCAGCAGCTTGATTCAAATCTGCATCATCGAATATCAAGAAAGGACAATTGCCTCCAAGTTCCAAAGTGACTTTCTTTAATCCATCGGAGCACAATTTTGCAACGAGTTTACCAACTCGTGTCTTGTTGTTCATCAGTATTCGGCTAAATCTGAAATATGACAAGGAAATCTTACAGAACCAGTGAATGTGACCTTCTTAATCAATGGATGACGACAGAGTGCCTCACTTAGTGGAGGTGTGTTATCCAAACTCGTGGTCAAAACACTAAATACACCTTTTGGGAATCCTGCTTGCTCGGCAAGGAAAGCTAAGGATAACACCGAAAGTGGTGTTTCTGGTGACGGTTTTGCTACCATACAGCAACCTGCCGCAAATGCTGCTCCAGCCTTTCGCAGGATCATTCTACAGATCGTTAGTCAGTGCTATACTATGGATGGGATAACTTACGCAATTGGGAAATTCCATGGGACTAGTGCTGCAGCTACACCGACTGGTTGCTTGATAGTGAAGACTCTCCTACCCGGTGCTGCTGGTGTCTGATTAGATGGACAAGTTAGTGGTTTGCAAGCTCAAGAACAGACACTGCGGGATATCGAAAATCGTTCATGAAGACGCGTGAAGTATCATATTCTCAAAAGAACATTTCGTGGCAGCGGCAAGGAACATGAAAAGAAACGCACCTGAATCGTCCCCGAAATTCTCTCCGCCTCCCCAGCAAACCACCACGTAAAACCCAACGCATAATCAATCTCTCCCAAACTCTCTGCAATTGGTTTTCCCGTCTCATAAGTGACAATCTTCGCCAAATCCTCCTTATTTTCTTTAATCAAAGAATCCCATTTCAAAAGCCACTGAGCACGTGTCCTGGGATTAACTTTCTTGAAAGATTGAAAGGCTGTGTGAGCAGCTTGAACGGCTGCATCCACATCGGATGCATCGTTATCGGGTGCTGAGGCCCATACTTGCCCGGTTCCGGGATCTGATGAAGATTCAGGAGTTAGTCAGGAAGAGATAGATGAGAAACTATGGTTTGATAAGGGAATAAGAACCTAAGACATCGAAGCGTTTGCCAGATTTAGCTTCTACCCATTCTCCATTGACATAAGATTTGTCGTGGAAAAGTGATGTATTTTTGAGCTAGAATGAGAGAGGTTAGTGTTGCGAGCTAGAGGTCTGTTGATTGCCCCTGAAACTTTAAACTTACATCGAATGGAAGTTTGTTTGAACTCATATTGAATCTATTTCGGTGGTTTTTCTCGATATTGGAAGTGAAGAAGGAGTTATTGTCTCGATATCAAAAGACAGTTTACTTCGAATTCTGAGTAATGTTCTCTTCAGATATATCGATGTGTTGAAAGCCTAAGGTGGGTAGTACAAGGCGGGGTTATATCCTATAGCGAGCGGGGTAGCTGGAAAAGAGGAAGAATTCATCGGCAGTGATTCACGTGATTCATTCGAGTCCCGTGATCTCTACACTCGTGGGTAGAAACTGGTGCTTGCCATGTCAAATTTGTGTCATCAAGAGTTTCCTTCCCATACTTGTGAGTTTACCGAATTTGTTTTTGGTATATGATCTCCTGTAAGTTCTCAAGAAAGTAAATATAGGTATATCTACCGGAAATCGACACGCTATTCAATTGTCCGCACGCTCCACATCCCTAAACACATGTGTCTCGTCCACCGCCCATTCAATAAACCTCGGTATCTTCATGAAGTCGTCGACATTGGGTTCAACTACTCTCAAGATACTTTAATAGATACTTCTAGCCACTGTATTTCTGATTGTATCCAATCTATATTAGAACTCCCAGACAGTTATACCTACTGATTCATCTGCTCCTTCGTCACTATTGTCTACATTGGAAATCGCAGGGAAAGCCAGAATGTCAGCAATTTTAGGTGCCCCTTTCGACCCCAAACTCACAGGACTTTTGCTTGTGGCACTTCTGTACTACCCACATAGGTTACGATCTATTGTACCCACCAAGATTCAGCCATACATTTATTCTCCCGCCTTCATTCGAGCATTGAAGGTCCTCCTCGTTTTGGGTGTTGTACGCGGTGTCAACAACAAGTTGTCTCAGCTTGTGTTGAACAATTGGAAAAGCAATGCGAAATTTGTCAAAAGTCAGGAGGTTGTCTTGATTACGGGTGGGTGCAGTGGGATTGGAGAATCAATGGCAAGAGAGTTCTCATCCAAAGGGATTAAGGTTGTGGTAATGGATGTGAATCCTCCAAAAATGCCATTTCGTGAGTACTTTTCTACATTTGGAGACACATGATATACAACAGTGACTAACAATGTTAAAGCATCAAATGTCTTCTACTATCGAGTTGATATAACATCACCATCCCAAATTGCCTCTGCAGCTTCCGAAATAAGGAAAAGTCATGGAGATCCTACCGTACTCATTAATAATGCCGGAATTGGTACTCTCATGCCCATTCTGGAAGGCAGTGAAGCACAAACCCGAAAGACATTCGAGGTTAATACGGTATCCCATTTCTTTCTGGCCAGAGAATTCGTTCCAGCGATGATAAAGAAGAACCATGGTCACGTAGTGACAATCGCTTCTTTAGCAAGCTACCTGGTGCACGCTGCCAATGTAGATTATTCCTGTTCAAAAGCCAGTGCTCTCGCGTTTCATGAAGGACTGGCATCAGAGTTGAAAGCTCTATACAATGCACCTAATATTCGAACCACGTGAGTCCTAAAGATCGCATCTACCCGACATTACCTACAGTATTCCATACTTACAAAGAAAATAGTGTTGTCAATCCAGGATGGGTTCGGACGCCATTGGCCGAGGGTGTTATCTCGCAAAACAGCTTCAAAGAGCCATATCTCCAACCTGAAACCATTTCTAAAGCTGTTGTTGATCAAGTGTTGGCAGGAAGAAGTGGCCAAATCATCTTACCCAAGAATATGAGTATCCTGGGCACAATTCGAGGATGGCCATGGTGGCTCCAAACCTCGGTGCGAAATATGATAGCTTTAGATTTGAACTTTGGTCAAACGCAGGGTGAGCCAGCAGTACAAACCGGAAATGTGGCTCCGGCGGCATCCACGTAAAAATTCGCCTTGTTATGTATTTTCCGGAGTATTTTGTTTTGTGGAAGGAAAGGTTGACTTGACGGGATTTTTTTGGATGCTGTTCTATGTTACTCAGCGTCATCATCGTGGTTATCGTGGCGATGTTGACCATGTTCGGGATTATCTAAGCTTTGTTTATTGGTAGAGGAGGCTGGCGACGAGTTCCGCAGTCCGTAGATTGTAAACACATATATCATACTCCACTCCACCCTGTTGTTATGTGTGGTAAGTCAATATGCATATTATGCTCAGAAGAGCACGAAGAGCCAATGCCGGTTTTACCGTTAAATGACATATGCAACTATCCACAAACGCACACTGAACGTTACAAACGCGAATTCCCATTCTAAAACAGGAGTATGAAGTAACAAATCCTCATCTTTACAACATCATACCCACCACCAGAGCATACCCAAAATCTTACCCCCTCATCCCCCAATTCAATATCACACCCAAGATCTAGATTCCCTCGCACCCTTCCCTTGATGTCAAACGTCACTATTCCTTATTCCCCCAAAGCCACACACCAGGATATCCATCTAGAACCTGTGCAACTATCGAACCATATACCCACCCGTTTGCATTCCCATGTAAGCATATACGCATCACAGCACACTATACGTGATTCGCACCAGCATCAAGACAGGATCCCACTAACCGGCATTCCCTCCCTCGCTCCCTCACCCACCAACCATGAAATTTCTTGCATGAAACCGCATTGACTTTTCTGCACCTCTGTCTGCCGGGGCTGTCTGCCAGGTATCCCAGACGTCTCCATTCGGATGGGTGTGGAGAATCGCGCTGGGGACACGATAAACGGAGTTCCGTATCCAGTATATCCAGGTATCCATCCAACAGGCATGCTTACCGGATTACGTGATGCACAGGCCAGAGGTAGCAATCGCCGTAGCTGCAATGGGCGACCATGACATGTGAACCCAATCCTCAGTAGGTCATCGACAAGGAGTCCCCTCCCCCCCCATTCCCCACCCTGGAAAAACGAAACGATTTCCTGGGCCCGGATCAGCGTACCGTGGTTACTGTCATGCAGAGAGATATTTCTTGACAGTGTGCGATGTACGGAGGTGGTAGGGAGGTGGTATTTCATACAGCTGCAGTGTAACGAGTCATTAATCAAAAAGCCTGGAGAGCAACACCTCCACCAGAATTTGCCAATAAAGCCAGCATCGCCAAGATGATTTGGTATGGAAAGTTGTGCCTCACGCCAAATGCGCCATGGCCTCTGTGTGGAATTTTAGAGAATCCGCGCGATATCCGTTTAGAGATTAGAGTTGAGAGGTGGAAAGGTTAGTTTAGGTTGGAAGGGATAACTTTTCGAATGAAAAGAAGGTTGGAAGTGTTCAGCCGCAGAGATTGTTCAAGTTTCGTGATTTTCCGCTGTTGCCGCGAATAATAATTTGAGGGAACCATTGTTTTTGATGTTGCCATTGAGAGACATTTTTTATTTTATTTTGGCTATGTGTACAAGGTGATACGAGTGATGAATAGGCTTTCCAAAACGTTTTTGTATATTGTTTTTTGGGGTTTCACTACATGTAGACGTTGTAGGCTTGTTAATGGCTTTGAGTCAAACGGGACTTGTTTACTCGATTCTGAGAGGATTTTCATAAGGTAGGTAAGCTGTCGATGGCTGCATATTGTGGATTGAGAGATAGAGATAACCTTTTTGGCATCTAGATACGTGAATGCATCTCCGTCCGCCTTACCATCTAGATTCCATCATCTCACCAATGCCAATACCAATCCAATATTTTGGATATTTTAAATACTTGGAATAAGCAATGAAAGTCTCTCGTATGTTCAATTGATATCACATCGTCCCTAGTACTTACATTAACGTTATGTATATGAATGGAGTATGTACTCATTGCGAGATCAGAACCTTGTCGTATCAGATTGCGAATATTCTATCTCATACATGACAGATATCTCACCGGTTCGCAGAACAGAGTCATGAAGTCAATGAAACCAATGAAACCAACGACCAGTCCAGTCTCCCACCAAGCGAACGAACTTTTACTTCGAGCTCACTCACGACTCATTAGTGAGTATTTCGTACCGAAAGTAAGGTAAGGTACGTGATGAAATTTAATATATTCAAGGGACACTTCGTATCATGATTGGCTCACATACCATCGGAAATCGGAGAGATCTTGAGAATCTTTTCTTTGGATGTTGGGAAACTATTGGAAGTTGGGGCTGAGTTTTCCCACCAAGCCATACCAGGATCTATTTTTTTGAAGTTGACCGCGAAGACCGCGGGGGTATATTGATGGTGAAGATCCAATTGGAGTCGATGATGAATGATGGATGATGGATGATGAATGATGAATGATGAATAATGGATCTACATATCCCTAGGTGATGGATAAATTGAGCTTGCGTCAAAGAGAACGACCAAAGTCATCAAACATCAAGCGTCAATATCAACTTTGGTATGTTGTGATGTTGTTATGATATGTGATACGTGATACGTGATGCGTGATACTCATATCGTACACCAAATAAACGCACGCGACACCAGACGGTTCTCATTCGTATGATTTGTATGGTGATTTGTATGGTGATTTGTATGGTGATTTGTATGGTGGTTTGTATGGTGGTTTGTGTGGTGGTTTGTGTGGTGGTTTGTATGGCCATTCGTATGGTAACTCGTTTGCTCATTCGTATGAGTTTGCTTCGTATTTCAAAACTACAAACTTTCCACTCCACTTATTCCTACGCTCGCTCGATTGTACAATCTCCTTCTCCTTCTAGAGTTCTAAGAATACCCATTACCTCCTACCCAGGTAAGCTTAACACCAAGTTTCCCCGTATTTTTCATTACCTGCGAGTCTGCCACGGTCCTGGTCCTGTTGTGAATGAAAGTATCCACTCGGAAAGCAAAAGCTACATATTCCGATACAAAACCATCGAGTCCACCACCCACACCATCCACCCACCTTACCGGCTTTCATGCCATGATCCATCCCAAATCACATTCGAAGGACTGGATGCTGGGAATCTAACCGTCTCATCTTGCTTGTCTCGACATTTCCTGCTACCATGCCGTACATCGAGCCATCTGTCGCACTTGGCTAACTCTAGATATTCTTTCCATCCGACTCCGATAAACTTTGCACCCATTACCCATTTCGGCCCAGGTGTGAGTTCTCGGATGACTCCCCTCCCCCCCCCCCCCCCCCCCCCTTTCAACTTACGTTACACGGCAACCGCGTGTCGTACTATAAGCCGAGTTGCCACAATATGAAAATATGTGTCAAGGTCATACCTGTCGTGAATAAATAAAGATCTACTTGGAACTTGGATCATTTTCATGTCAAACTTTTTGCTCATCATTCCTAGCCCTTTCCACACTTCTGACCTAGGGATTCCGGTTTGATGATTCCCCATGTCCATTCTCGTAATTCTAATACTACTCTGTATACACGCAGTAGCTATGACCCGGACCGAGTGGACCATAAATAATCCCGATCTATCAAGAATCAAGAGGCAATTAATCACAGCCATGGCCATGCGTCTGGGTTGTAGCTTCTTATTCTCATTACCCAAGAAGATGGGTTGATGAGTGATGAACAATCATGGCTGAGCTTGAACGCTTGAGCCCAGCCAAATTCTAAACTCTCTGTGTCTCTCATCCTCCGTAATGGCACAATTGATATGACATGACCGGATTGGTTCTATGATATTAAAGAACCTTCCCAGCCCGTGTAGCTGGGACGGATTTCTACCACTTATCACATTTGTACTTATATTTAGATTTCTTTTCCAACATTCCATCCATCTCTCCTATCTTTTCCCTTGAATCTACCTGTCGTCCTACTTTTGTTGCAGATTTTGCAGCCTGAAGTCACACCAGTCCATACAAACATCTACACGACTTCTCACAACATCTTTATCTCACTATTATCTATTATTCACACATTCACACATTCACACATTCACATATACGTAGCAATACGACCAACGTTCTATCATACAAACCAATCCCTCCCCTAGGTTAGCAAGGAAGAGGTGAATAAAATCCACCTTTTAATCTATTCGACCAAGTTTTTGGATATATTTCTGCCTGTCCTCCTTCCCTGCTATATATTTACTTTTCCCTTGCTGTATTCCAAAAATAAAAAATAAAACATAAAAACCCCTTTGCTTTTGGAGTGCCTACCTACAGTACAGTACATACACATGCAACGGCTCGGAATCGGCACCTTGTCAAATCTATCAATCAAATATTCTCCGGATATGCAGGTGCAAACGCCACTTGCGCATGGATTATCGGAAATTCCTGCCCGGATTTTGATGAGTCGGTCTGGACCATCGTTGGGACTTTCTGGAATCTCTTTGGTGCATGCAAAGAAGGAGGTTGATGTTGTGGAGAATATAAATAAAGACTTTCCAATGGTTTCAGAGGGAACACCGTCTCATACTTCCTCTTCCAATTCGTCTTCGGCTTCATCTTCAAGAGATACAAGAGATAGTATACCACACCCGGACTTCAAATCTTTATCATCTTCATTGGCCTTCGGAACACAGAACGGAAGCAACATGTTGATTGTGGAGTCTCTCGTCCTCTTTGCTACGGCATGCATTTTATATATCCTCAGCTCTCAACGAAAGACTCATACACGACGTCCTCAAAATGGAAGTCACAAGAGAGCTTCTCCTTCTACAAACTCACCTTCAAACATCACCAAGTTCCTCCATAACCCTCTCGCCCAAATCTCCCACCTACTATCATGTAGCTCATCCACATCATCAATATCAACTACCTCTCTTCCCACTCCACCCCACCAACCACCTAAAGCCCAACCTGGTCCCCAGAAACCAGCTTATGTCCTCCCACCACTCAAACCCACCTCTCCCCATCCAACCTCAATGGGACTCAAACGACTCGACAAATCCAATTGGCTCACCATCGACTCCACCTATCTCCCCGAGCACGAACTCCGCGCTTCACTCCTCGAAACCCACGGACCATGCGTCTTGCAAGTCCTACCCCCCGCCATCCCAGCCACCTACGAACTCCTCGAAATGGTCATTGAGTTTCTCCTTGATCGATATCCGGATGATTTCTCCCTCGTGAATGAAAACACTATCCTCAATCAGTTAACCGGAGAGCAATCGACCATTGGATCGAAATGTAAAAATCCCCTCGAGACAGCAGCTCGTCTCTGCATGGAAGATTTCAATCTCTTACTACAAGATCCATCCGAAGAAGACGGGGAATGGAAATTAATGGCTTCGGCTACCCTCTTCCCCGCAGGTTGGAAATTGCAGGAGAGAATCGGGAGTAGTATGGCTGTACTACATAAACCCGTGCCAGGCTGGAAAGAAAAGTTAGGAAAGAGTGTTAATCGGTAAGTCTTCCATCCCTCTCCCTTTCTCCACCTCCCAATCCCCAGAAAGCAAAAACAAAACATCAACATACTAACTCACCCCAGCTACTTCACCCACCTCACTCCCCGCACCTGTATGGAACGCTCTAACCTCTTCGTCCAAACCACGCCCATCCTCTTCCAAGATATTCCCGAAGCTCCTCCTTCTCCCTCTTCCCCACTCACTCCCTCAGATATCTACGTCCGTCGGGAACGACAAACCTTTACTCGTCTCCCGAAATCCAACGCGGTGCTGTTTACAGTACGCACGTATATGGAGAGATTAGTAGATGTGAATTGTGACGATGCGGAAGCGATGGCGAAACAGATTCGTGGGTGGGATGGGGAGTTGGCGCGGTATAAGGGAGTGGGAATTTGGGGGGATGTGACGTTGGGGTATTGTGATGGGAGGGTGGTGGAGAGGGAGAGGGAAGTGGAAAGGGAGAGGGAGAGGGAAAAGGAAGAAGAGAGATTAAAAGGGTTAAGGAGAGATTCGGGAATTAGTATGGGGTGTGAAGATGAGATGATGGAGTTGTAATGGATGGATGGATGAATATCCGTTTGGACTTCTCATATTTGGGTGCGGGTCTTTCTTTCAGAAAAGCAACGGAAGAACGAAGCAAGGAAATGATAAACGAATATACACGAACACACGGGAACCTGGCAACGGGAGGCACTCTGCTTTTTCAAAAATTTCCAAAAACTTTCTGCGGTTTGGGAGCGAGGGATTTAATTACAGGAAAAAAACAGAACTGTGTTTATTTATGGGGGTTTTGCATGCGGTTTAGTGAGTGGGGGTAATGCGTTGGGTTTAATATAGGGAGTGGGGGAGAGGGGAGAAGGGGGGTAGATAGAAGATTTGACATGAGATGAGATGAGGAATGGGATGAATGAGAAGAAGGAGATGAATTAATATCTGATGCGTGCGTTGAGATAGGGCTATTTATCCAGGTACCTACTAATTAATATTAGTACTTGAGCATGCATAGAAATTTGAAATAAAATCGATAGAGAATTTTAAGATATGGGATGAGTGTGATGTGATCAGTATGATATAATGCAATGCTTGACAAGCGAATTATATGGGTTTAGTTATTTCTTAATTCCATTGCAATTCCGATTCCATTTCATGCACGCATCCTAAATGCTTATAATAACGATAATTCCACCCAGATACTAATAATACAATTCCTCAATCTCCTACCATCTCTTTTGATCTCCTCCACTGCTGAAATCCCCTCCTCTCCTTTCCTTTTCAACCCGAGCGTCGAATTCTTTCTGTGCTTCTACTTGGGCCAGATTTCTGTCCTCTTCTGTCTTGGAAAATGTGAAACTGTCTGCACTCGATGGGGCATCACTCGATGCTTTAGGTTTGTTGTTTTGTACTGTTGCCCATCCGGATTTTGGTGGTTGTGATGTAGTGGTATGGGAAGTGGAAGCTGGTTTTTCGCCACGACGAATTCGATCCCATGCTGAACCTGTCTGTCCAGGAGATTGAGCTGTCGTTGGCGCGGTATCCATTCCCTGACCATTGGTAGGCGAAGCATCATCGAATAGATCAAATGGTTTCTCTCCTTCTTGTGCTGGGGCTTGTGCAGGAACTGGTTTTCTCTGTGGCCAACCTCTCGTTTGTGGGAATGTTTGAGGAGCTGTCTGTCCAGATGCAGGCGCATTATCTTCTTCAGACCACTCCGCCTCCCCAGTCGGACTAGCATCATCATATCCTTGTGTACTTCGAGTCTGTGGCTGCGGTTGTCCTTGTCCGGGCTTCATGGGGGGTCGGGGAATCCCTGCAGGACTAGGTAGATTCTTCTGATGTCTGGCAACTTCTTCTGATGTAGCTTTTACAATATCCTTCAATCGCGTGTCGCCCATCTGTCCCACGGCCCCGACACTAGCTGCATATCCCCCGAACAGTAATTTTGATACAGTCGTTCCAATATAACCATAACATAAACCTCTAAATGCATGCCAAGCAATTAATGCCGGAGGTCCTTTGATATACGGCATTTTCGCATGGGGAAAGACGCTTGAATTGAACGTCTCGAGGTTTGGTTGGTAGAATGGGAAACGAAAGGTCGGAGCCGTTTGGACTGCTCTGTATATGCCCGCAGATAAACCCGCAACAGGGGCAAAGGAATTGATCCTAATTACCTTCCCAGTATGAAATGCAAGGGCGTCGATTTCTTCTTGTCTGAGTGGGCGGTTGGTGATCCTCTCCGAATTCTGAATACGGAGATGGATGATCTTGGTCAAAAAGGCAAGGTTGAACCCGAACAGAGGACCAAAGAGCAGTAGCGGTTGAGGTATCTTAGTGCCATCGATTTTGTATCTTTCAATACTGGCAGCTTGGCCTTTGTCTTGTTCCGAAGACGCATAAGGATCGCTGTCAGAGGTAGGAACGGAGTCGAATGATCCGTTTGCCTCTTTAGATGAGGCATTTTCAAGTACCATATTGGCGAGTGAATCAACACGTTGAGGTAGGTGATGATTTTAAGAAGTCGGTGAGGATAACTGCATTCGTGTTGCCTCGTTTGTCGTGGTACAATTCAATAAAGGTGTTACCACGAATAATCGCACAGCAGCTCTTGGAAGCTCAAAATGAAGCTTGGATGTTGTGACGTCTTGCATTTTGCGGGCAAGATTTCCGCGGGAGTGGCTTTATCAATTTGTGGCGGGGTTGAGTTAAGCGAAGTTTATCCGTAAGTTCCTCCTGACTTCTCGTGCATTTCCAAGGTTCTCCAATATGATTCCCAATACTTTGATATCGTTGATACCTTCCCTATCTTCTTCAAATGCTTGTTTGCTATTGCATGAATTCTTTACTGGTACTCGTATGCTCTCCAGTGAAAAGTCTCCCTTGAACTTCCTTGAAGTATTCTTCAACAGCTTTGATTTATCTATCATATTGTCAAACAATCAACCAAAAAGTGTGGTCTAACCTTGGTTCCGGATTCCCAGGATAGAACAAGCACAAATTCTCAACTGTGGTTCACACAACAGGATAAGTATCCTTCAAGCTCACATGGAACCAGCTTTAATCTCGATCTTGCAGTAGTAGGAATATCCTGCTATCGTGATTCGTAGCCTTTAATAGCTTCTCGCAGCTTAAACTGGCAGCTATCCGTCCAACTGCAGTAGTATCATCTGGCAAGAGTCCGGGTGGACCACATATCACCACAATATCGAATTATCTCATGTTCAGACCTTGAATGCATGACTACAGAGCTATTCTTCATTGGGGCTCGCCTTGAATGGGTTCATAGGTCCTCGAATAAGCCACCGTCCACACATCATCGTGTATTCGTTGACTTTTATGTCCAATGCCGTGAAACGTGTGCGGGGTAGTTACAGCATCGCCAGCCATTCCTTGCTCTTCGGTGTCATTCAAATAAGCCTCGAGTATCTATCACTCAATTGATTGCATGACTTTTGATGAGATAGAATCTCTTTAAGTTTCTCATACTTTCAAAGTTGAGAAGCGTGATGATTGATAAATGATTGGTCAATCGCTGCCACATTACTTATCATCTGATTGATTATTAAGAACTTGATCATTCTTGTCTCCATATGTCTTGATATACCCCCAATATGCAATACATGATATCGAGATACTTGTTTATCAGTTAAATAAGGCTTCAGAATAACCTCACACCTAATCACTCCCGTGTGACCATCAATTCCCCGCATAAAATATACAAAAGTAGAATGTATCAACATATTTTCTGATTCAAGGCCTAAAACTTGATGTAGAGTAGTATTCTCACCATGCATTCAACCCCAAAGAAAGAAAAGCACCATGCGGATAGTCGCATTCGTCGACGCTTGGATACCGATGAGAAAAGCAGGAAGGAAAAATACAAGGATACAGATTGCGAATCCATCGCTTCAATATCATCTGCAACTCCTTCGGCCGCTCAATCAGCATCTGCGGGCGGAATATGTCCTCTCCGGGTTCTCTTATCCAACATGATTGAAGCCGAAGAGAGGGGGGGAAAATGTTGTCTTTTACGCAGAGTACCATTGTGGCATACGATTCCACTTTGCTTATTGGCTGTCATAAACTTATTACTTATCATTGTTGCGTTGTTGGGGTTGGCTGGATATGAGATTACAATGGGGATTCAGAGAGTAGTCTGTGAGATGATGAGATCGGATTTGGAAGTGGAGCCTTATGTAGAAAGGGGGAGTGTAGTAGACACCAATAGTGGAACTTTGCTTGAATATTAGGATGAGATGGACCCTGAGATGGAGCAGTGGACTCTCCTCCGCTTTGAAACAGACGAACCTTTCGATTTTGAGAACATTTGTGATTTCTTTGGGGGTGTAACGGCTATGGTGTGCAAGCGGCGATATTCCACCCCCCCTTTTCGAATAAAATTCGGTGTTTAAGTTGGTTTCTGTGGGCGACGCTGCGGCATGAACATTGACCAGCTTTTATTTACATCAACGACCGAGATACGAACGCAATCAACATATGTCGACCGAAGACTCCTTTCTTGGTAGGTTGACATTAATTAGCGAGATTGTGTACAGACTGAGAAAATTTGTAGCAATCTTCGAGGGACGGGGTTTACGGCTGATCATAGGCAGAATGGATATGATACAAACAATCCAAGGGAGGCTGGCTATTTTTGATACCCCTTTTGCATATAATGCTTGTTTTCTTCTTCGGTGGGCGATATACTGGAAAATGTTGCCGTCAGTGGATATGGCATTGGTTAGGATATGGGCGAATCTGATGCTCTCGTTTCTTCTTGAGTATGTAAGTATTGATTGATGTATGTTAGTGTGTAATGAGATTATGGACCGGAGTGTCTTGTTATCGGAGTCTTACCTCCTTGTCTGGAAACTTTGTATTTTGATGATGTGAATACCTCATTATTCCCATGGAATCTTAGCGGTCCGTGTGAGACCTACAAAACTCTACATCTCTCTGTCCCTTAGGAATCTCGGGTAAGAATGTCAGCATCGTGAGCTCTGAATCAATTTGGCTTGAGATAGCACGGAATAGGCAGCTACACCGCTGTAATAATTACTGATAAAACTTAAAGAAAACTTGAATATGAGAGCGTGAGACAAGGTTAGAAGGTTGTATGTACGAGTCAATATAATATGTAAGGACACTCATGATCTGAGGCTCCAGAGTCATCAACCACGATGAAGGGTCGCCATATCTTCTGAATTGATGACGAATATATATCATCCACGCAGGTTTTTGAATTTACATGGAAACACCAGCGATGTAGGAATTGAAATATTGACTGCAACTCCCTCGAGGTATAAGATGTGAAATCTAGCTCATGTCATGATTAGATCAGAGAAATCATTTCACTACATACCTAGTATTCATCTTGAGCTATGATTACCGCGGTAATTCAGGGGCTATGGAGTACTATTCACACGATTTTTGATTGGGATTGGTCGGGGTCAGCCTTGTAATAATCAGGTTTAGATATACAACAAAAGTTCTTCGAGAGTTGTGATTGGGAGAGTAATGAAAATTGAGTTTGAGTTTAGTAGTAGTTATTTGATCTAAAAGCGCGACGTCGTGTGGCTGCATCATAAGTCAGAGTCTAGAATGCATACAGTAAAAGTAGTGGTACTTTATTGCTACTAGAGTTCATAGAGTGATGAGAAGAAGATGCTCGCCTGAATAGGTATATAATGTATAATTAGATCGGTTCTAGAGCCCTTGGGGGTATGGTCTAGTTTAATGGTAGTCTAGTCCATTTTCATGCAGCTTCAATTTTCTGGATGCTTTATGCATAATAAAGACAAGAAGAGTAATGCAATTCCTTTAGTTCTTCTTCAAGTGCTTCGCGTGGTCGATCTTCTTCTAACTATCGAGCGCGACACAAAACTAAAAGCCGCGCTGGTCTTACGCCAAGACTTATAGTCTAGAAGCGAATTACTGTATGGGGTTTATATTTGCTGGGATGATCGTTACGGAAATAAGTTAAAGATGTGCAACAAAACTGTTATGAAAAAATGTGATTGGAGCTTCTGAAGATATGATTGACTGACTAGAGACTAGAGTTACAGTCTGGTCGTGAAGTTCTATACTAGTTATATACTTTCTGGGATGGGGTCTGTGCGTGGAATTTGTAGATGTGCAATAAAACTATTCTGAAAAATCCGATTGGTCTCTGGAGCATCTATATAGAATGATCGACTGACTAGAATCATTGTCTGGTCGTGAAGTTTTGTATTAGTTATATACTTGTTGGGATAAGGCCTGTGCGTAGAGTTTGTAGATGTGCAACAGGATAGTTTTTGAAGATTATGAACCGGGGATGTGGAAGGACGGTGTGTAGTGGATTTGTGATTTGGGTTTGGAGTATTGTAGGTTCTTACCATGACGCACTAGTAGGGCGAGGCTTGTGTATTGGGCGTGTGAATTTGCAAAAAAGGGGAAACGAGAGATTTGAATGAGTGAGATGTGAGGGAGTGAAAAAAGGGAAATTGAGTAGCTGTTGAACTTATGTGGGAAATGGACGAAAGAGTGGCTTTGGACTAGGTTTTCAGGGATGATTGATGGATACCTGGTGTGGAATTACTCCCCGGAGGCATAAAGAAGGAGAGTCCTTTGAAAGGTGATCATATTATCTGAAATATACCAATCTAAAGTTACATTGCCGCCATTCAACGAATCACTACGATTTTGACTTTCTATTCGGGCGTAAATCGACGACGAACTGCCAGGAAGCTAAGCGAACTGTCAGAAATTAGACTTTACGCTAGCTACCTAGTCAGCATTTACGGTTGAGGTTATGAGAGTCGAAGAAAAAATGTTTTCTAATATATTATGATGTTACGAAACGAGTTTTCAACAGTCTCAAAGCACATTTCTATGTGTATGAAATTTAAATCAGTGTCGTGAGAACTACGAACAATTCCAGCTCTAGTCACCCCAGCCAGAGTGATAACACATGATTTACGCAATTCGGGGCATATCATTTGATGACTTTAACGCCGTTTCTCGAGGTAATTATCACTAAAAGTCGCCGGTTAGAAGTCTTACCGGTAAGGGTATAAACAGCGATTCTTCAAGGAATATAACACTGCTAATATTCTTGTGAGGATTACCCCTGTAAATTGATGCTGTAAATATGCAACAGAAGCCAATTCGATGGTTTTGACTTGATGAAATTGGAAAGTATGTGTTCTTGATTTGGTGCTAAATAAATGCGCGGATTAATTTGTGATACAGGGATTGATAAGCTAGATTCCAACTTGCTTTACATGATGAGTACTACTTGGACGGCTAGTCAGGATGAGACCTTGATATATCATTTTTTTTAGATGTGCAACGTACCATTCTTGAAGACTCCAAATTTTGCGTGATTAGAAGGTAGACTCGATTGTTAGAGCTAGTAGATGTTTTAGTCTAACACCTAAAGAACAATTTATGAACTCTAGAGTGCTATTTATAAAGTATCAAGATATACAAATAATGTGCACTAAAAGAGACCAGTGTCTGTAATTGGAAAGTGGTCAGAGATTGCTCCAACTATCGGAGCTAAGAAAGAATGATTCTTGAATAGACTTTTCACTAGTCGATGATCATAAACTTGGTAATCATGGTTCACTACTAATTTTACTCAAGTTGGGATATGTAAAACTAGTTTAAAGTGCAAAAGCTGGCTGAGAATTACCTCGGGCTGGAAAGTAAAGTTTACCGAACTGTTTCAAAGCAACGGAAACTGCGCATTCATGAACGTACCTGTAAGAACCAGAGCTCTGAGAGACATATAGATACACAGCTTTTGGGTCGAAGGGAAAAGGGGGCTTAAATTGAAAGATGGGAAACTTCTTAACGATAAATGCTGGCATCGAGGAAACGAGATAAGGGATGAATGCAAAAAGCCAGCACTCATAACCATTTGACCGACATGAATATGAATTATACCTTGAAGAATTTGAGTTGAAGATACACCAGGCTACTACCTATTTCCGGAACAAAAGAAGTACCTGGTCGACCTGGAATCTCTCCACTAGAAAATCTAGAGAGAGGGCTTGCCAGGATGAGGCCTGTGCATTGAAATTCCAGATGTGCAACAGATCCAAAAAATCTCTCCTCCTTTGATCTAATTGGAAGACGATTGAATACGCTAAAGACAACTTCGAAACTATGACTTCTCATTCCTCATCTAGTGATTAGTTTTCGGAGCAGTATGGGACTTGTAGGGATGAGGCCTGCATTTCAGGTTTGACAGGACTTCTAGATATGCAACAACAACATTAGAATTTTCTAATTCTCTTCCACTCTCTGTGATTGGATGATGATGAATGTATGAGAGATCATGATCAGCGTGTTCAATATTCGGAGAACCTCACACGTAGTCCATCAAACAAATTTTGAAGATTAAACAGTCTGAGCCTTTTGTACTGCATACACTCAAAATGTCACATTTTTTCTCGAAATTATCGACTTTACCCACAAGAAAAAATGGATGCTTCGAAGTTTTTGTTTTGGCATCCAAGCATTCCCGGTCTAGAAATCTTGACAGTTCAGATTATATTCCCAGAAGTTTCGAACAAGTTAGACCATTGAACACTCCCGATCCTGAATTTTTCCCTGGTTCTTTTTCCGGTCATTTTAACCATTCTCTTTAGGGAAAATAAGGTTTCTTTGCGATCTGTTCTCCGTAATTTCGTAATAATCTTCCAGCCTATCAAATTCTGCCTAGGAACTACAACTTCAGATCTAAATTTCGAAAGTAGATCCTCCAATTGCGTAGCAACGAACTGAGGGTTATCCTTCTGAATTAAATACCCACAACCTGGTGCAATAAGGACTTCTTTTCCTGAACGGTCAGCATCAGTCAGAGTCAACAATTCTTCATTGTATTTTTGCCATGCACTGCAAATCTGTCAATACATTGCACCATCTTTACAAGAATGGGAAAACTGACGGTTGCGTATACTTCCTGTTAAGACTTTTGGGAATCTTTAACAACCTCCACATCTCTTCTGCAAAAAGTTCAGGATCATGCCCTATATCCTTCAACCATGATCCTTTGCCATTCAATCGTTGGAGTTTGGGAGAGGAAGGGTTGGGTAGAAGGTGCAGGACATTTCTTCTGTCTAACCCTTCAGGGCTTTTAACATCGGTGTTAAATGTTCGTCCTAGTGGACGCTTCGATGTATTGTTCCAGTGTACAATCATCCCCTACCACCTCGTCTTCTTTGAAGTCAGGACTATGAGCATTTAGCCGAAGATCTGTAGCTTCGGCATTGCCGATATTTGAATCGAGAAATAAGAGACCTTCCACGGTGGCTGGGTGTTTGTGAGCGTAGAGTGGAGCGATATATGAATACCAATACTAGCTGCAACGAGGACAAGCTTGGGGTTTGTCGGGATAGTAACTTGGATAAGCTCTTGGAGATCGTTAACTGCATCGTTCAAATCGTGACCGTATCCAGGATATTTTCCTGGTATGTTATCGGCTGGATCTTGAGAGGTCGTAGCACCCTGACCGTAGCGATCGTATGTCAAAATGCTTGGCTTTATAGAACTAGTGGACTGTTGAAGAAGAGCAATTGTGCTAGTCCATGATACAGATGGCAAACCAAGACCATTAATAAATACGATGAGGGGAGAATCCGGATTGATATCTTGACTCTCGATGAGCTTGTAAGCAAGTGGAGTCTGTGGCTTGGAGGGGAGAATTGCGAAGGACATTGCAAGTTATTTGCATCTTTCAAGAAGACAACTAGGTGGTCTTTATGTTATTTTATACATATAGGTCAGCGCCGCTCCGCATATTCGGCTCCAAGAAGATAAGATGTGGGAAGTGAGGTTGTTCAAGACCTAAGCATGTCAGAATCGGTGATTATGTAAGATGATCATAGCATTATTAGTGGAATGTAAGGCTTGGTACATTTACATACATGGCAGGGCTTTCCGACATCCAATAATTGGTTTAACAGATACCAGTACCTAAAGACACATTTTCTCTGCAACAAACCAAGTACGTGATACTCTTGGACAAGGAAATTCCGGCCTTAAGAAAGTCGTTAAAAATACTGGCCTCAACCTCGGTAGTAGGATGTTGCGAGAAACTCACCAGCAAGCCTCAAGAGCTAATATTTCTGAGTGTTTTCCATGCCATCTGATGCTTCTTTCAAGAGTTTGACGCTGGTCGGGCCAGTCTCACTTTCATTATTTGGCAAGGTAAAAGTTAAGGCATATTTGGACCACTTTGCATTTCAAATTCCGCCACCCCGGAGAAGCAATGAAGAAGTCCGTATTTGATCAAGAACGGTAAAGCTGCCCGCAACGGTGATCACGAAGAGACCTTTTGACCTGAAGAAAATGCAATATTGGTGAAAGCTTCGAAGCGTCTGTCTGAAGGAGGTCGAGCCATTCACCTGATCACACTGTCACTTCGCGACTCTCTACAAATCGATATGATTCGAACACTTTGATAAATATGGTAAGCAAGTATATCAAAGTAGAATGTGCACAATAGAAAGATCTGACAATCCAATAATACCTGGTCAAGTCCTTGACGAGAGTTCAAAAATAATACACACGAGGTCACCAAGTGAAGTGCATTTCCTATTGCTTAGTAATCATAAACGACAAGGTTGCACTTCTCAGTAACTTTCATAAAACTCTGCACAAAACTATGTATTGAAGTAGCACAAGAGCATAACAGTCGTCATGTGACTGCGCGCAGTCGGCCGTGATTGTTTCCGTTGTCGCGTCGACTGAATATCTTCAATTTTGTTCGTAACTCTTCTCTTCACTCACTGCTGACTGTCGCTCTTCCACCATCTATTCAATGCAACAACAATACATTTACGGACTTTTATCGCAGAGCTCGATTTATTGCATGATCATTTTAATTCCTCTTTGAGCAATTGCCACAAAATTGTTCCTCTGACTTGTTTTTCGCCTCCACAATCACCAATTTTGCCTTGTACTTCCACTTATAGTCATCAACTAGACACGCATAATGCCTCCTGCAACTGAATGTGGGAATCCTCTACTGCTTAAATGGCTTGAAGAATGGGTCGTCGAAGCACAAGAACGGGGATACAAATCTCTTCCGACCGTCAAAAAAGCTCGTGATTCAATGAAAGCATGTCCTATGCGATTTGATCACCCTAGTGAAGCAGTATGCTTGAATGGACTTGGAGAGGGCCTTGCGAAGAGATTGACTGATAGCCTTGAGAAGTATTGCGATGAGATGGGTATTCCTATGCCTAAGAAGCCGAGGGGCAAAAAAAGAAAATCGGTAGCTGTTGATGAGGGTGGAGAATCGGTGACGCCTTCGCCTTCACCAAAGAAAGCGAGGAAGCCTAAGCCTTATGTTCCGAAATTGAGGTCAGGTGCTTATGCGATCATGTTGGCTTTGGGGACCCAACCACGAAACAGCAGAATAGGAATTACTAAGGAGGAGATCATCGCTTTAGCAGAACCTTTTTGCGATACTTCTTTCACACAGACAAGACCTAGCGAATTTTTCACGGCATGGAATTCTATGAAGACATTAATCAGCAAAGATTTTGTGTATACGAAGAAGAATCCAGCAAGCAGGTATTATCTTACGGATGAGGGATGGGATCTTGCCGATACCATCAAAGCTAGTGGTGATCCTACATTAGGAAGAGCACATGATTTCCAACCTGTTTTAGCAGGTCCATCCACCACAGCGTCAAGAAACCAAGACAATGACTCAGATTCCGAGCTCGAAGAAGTCAATTCTCCATCCCGTTTATCATCCCAATCCAATCCCAATACTCCCGATATACCCACTGGAGAAACAACAAGCATCCCAACCTTCGAACCCATCATTTTGCGCCCCGGCACCTTCACCGTCGAACTCATCCTCGACAACCGCGAAGTCGCCAGCAAAAAAGACCGCGATGGAATCCCCAACCAACTCACCAGCATGGGTGTTCCCCATTCCGTTCGTGCTCTCCCCCTCGGCGATTTTCTCTGGGTAGCACGCGTCCGCGAAGACAAAGCCAAATGGCTCAATCTCGGAGCATCGAATCTCATCATGCTAGACTACATTATGGAGCGCAAACGACTAGATGATCTCATCGGATCTATCAAAGATGGTCGATATGAAGAGCAGAAATTCCGTCTCAAACGATCCAGCATCACCAACGTCAAATACCTCGTCGAACAAAAGAAAATTGACGCAGACATCTTGGATAAGTGGGGCGATGGAATCACAACCTCCATTGCCAAAATGATGATTCAAGACGGCATACACGTGAAGCATACACTCGATCTAAACGAAAGTCTCAACTACATCGAGCGCATGACCAAACTTCTCAAGAAACAATACGAGGACACTCCTCTCTATATCATCCCCACCAAAGTCCTCTCCGTCAAAAACTACACCCCCTTGATGCAACATCTTCGAAAAACAGAACCGGATCGCGAATACAACATCACATTCGACGCCTTCGACGCACTATCCAGCAAATCCCAAAACCTAACCCTCAAAGACATCTTCCTCAAAATGCTCATGCGAACTAGGGGCGTCACAGCCAGTAAAGCAATCGAGATCCAGAAGCGATGGGCGACCCCTCGAGCATTCCTAGAAGCTTTTGAGAATCTCGATAGCGATGACGGAGTCGCCAGCGATGCTGTAAAATCCAAAGCTAAAGGAAAAGGAAAAGGTCCTGCGCTCCTCCTTGATCCCGAAGAAGCGAGTAAGAAACGAAAGAGAGAAATGATTTCGAATGAGATTGGCGCGTTGGTGGGTACTAAGAAGGTACAGGGTGCGTTGAGCGCGCGGATTGCGGAGGTTTGGGGGGGTGTTTGAGGTGAGTGGGGATGGGGAAGGATACCATGAGTATATTATTTGAATCTCGAAGCAAAAGGAAGATGATAGATAGAGACGAACGATTGAAGGATAATATGGTAAAGGAAAAGGGTGTAGACGTTCATGCTCGGTTTTGGAGTTTACGTTTTGTGTTGCGATGTGTTAGGAATAATTGGAATCGGGGAGGGTGCGTTGAAGGAAATAATTCTCAATTTCCCATCAATCTCGTACTTTTTAAAGAGGCGAGAATTGAGTGTTTTTGTTCCTGTTCCTGTTTCTGTTCTTGGTTCTTCCTATTCTCTACTAGGCCAAGTGGTGTAAACACATAGAAGTAGTAGACCGCTTATTGATATCCCTTATTTCAATGGAATCTGCTATGTCTGAGAACAGGAGTAGAATAAATTCTTTCCGCTAGGCCCCTGCATAAAGCGCACGCTGCTATCACTACATTTATATCACATACATCGAGAAAAAGGTCTTGTCTTTCATGGCTTTTATGTGCATTTAAAAATCATCAACTATGTAGCTCGCTGCTATTTTGCGCTACAATGCGATGCTATGATTCTCAAGATCTTGAGCCCATATCTTAGATCTCGTTATTCCCATCCAACCAACCATTTTTTCATCTTGAATGGGTCCGTCTTTGACGCCAAAGGAAATACCCAGTTCAGTTCATTCATAGCATTATCAAATCATCTCTTGATTGATAAATGAGAGAATTAAATTCCCTAAAAGAGACTGCGCTCTCAGCCGCGAAAGTCTCTTCCCTCCTTCATCACTTAGGAATTATGGAGAGCTCTCTAGCACATCTTATATTCAGCACCTCCTTCAGCTTGTCTTAATGGATCTGTAGTCTCCAACTTGTACTGAATCTTAACATCCAAATCTCTTGGGTTCTTCTCATTTGGCTTGTTGTCCAATCGTCCAACAATTTGCTCTCCTTGTTCAACAGTCAAGACCTCTCTCAAGTAGAAAACAGTTTGTTTCCAGTGAGTGTATTTAGTGTGGGGTCCAGTGCTGAATCTAATAGGTTTATGGCAGGCGGTGAAATCGATATCGAACCATGCAATAAGAGCGTGGACGAAATCATTGCGACGCACATCAAGCTTGAAAGGAGAGGAGAAAGCGAGATCTTCCTTGGTGCATGTGTAAAGATCGAGGGTGAGGACTGCGGTGGGGTCGGTAACGACAGCCTTGATCTCGACGGTATCGACGAGAGGTTCGGTGAGAGCGGTAGCCTTGAGAGGAGAATAGTCGAAACCATAAACGTTGTCCCAGACTTTTATACGTTAGTATGCGAACATTGGAGAAAACATCGGCGACCTGAAAATCTTCTGAAAACTTACATCCAATCTTCTCATCCTTATATTCTCCATCCTCAATACCAGCCATGAAGATGGTAGCCTTATCAGGAAAGATCAAACCATTTGGCGCAAGGTACTTGTCTCTAGCGTAGAGAACGGTATCCAACATGGATTCGTAGAGCAAGAAGTAGCCCATCCATTCTGAGATGATGATATCAACTTTTGGGTATGGAAGTACAACCTCCTCCATCTTTCCCTGGAGTAATGTAATCTTGTCGGACATGCCGTTGACTTCGACAATCTCACGGGCCTTCTCGATGATGGTGGACATATCGACACCGATAACGTGTTTAGCACCGGCCTTGACAGCGAACCTGTTATCCAATCAGTTTCTGGACTTTTGAGATGATGGAAGGGGAAAATACACACATGCTGAGAATGGAGGTACCACATCCTACATCAAGAACGATCTTGTCCTTGAAAAGATGCTTGTTTTGCACAATAGCATTCATGTATGACCGAGTGCGGACTTCATCTTTCTATTTGTGTGGTCAGCAAGCGGGGCAAAGTTTGAGAGAAGCAGTTTTGTTCCTGCTTGTAGATTACATACCAACATCTCTTCATGGATACCTTTATGTATTGATTAGCATTTTCCTTTGGTATCTCATTGAATGTTTTGCATACCATGATGGTTGTAACTGTGTTGAAGATTAGCATAAACCGTCCTTATCGGCAAAGATTGGATTGAAGAGTGTATATTCACCTGTTGAAGTAATGAGCCTCGGAATGCTCCAATCCCTTCATTGGATCGTCAGCCATGATTATGTATGTGTTTTGCTTGAAAGTAGCACAAGAGATGATGAAAGGGAGAGGAAGAAAAAAAGTGTAGAGGTGATGGAAGGGTGGTGGAAAAAGAGAAAAAGGATAAATTGTTTGTGTTTATTCAAGAGATTTCAAGGTTGATAAAAGCACCAAAATGTCTCAATATGCAGGGATTTTTTTCTCAGCAAGCGGCCGAGATTCTACCACCGCCTTCCACTTTAGACTCGGAGATTATTTGCAGGACAGGGTTAAACAACATTTTGATAGAAAGTTACTGGGGAAAACACCAAGAATCCAGAATTCTACCTGACAACATCATGATAGGGATTTCTTTTGCTACCTAGTATGCATGGATGGTGATGATGATGATGATGATGATGATGATGGTAGAGATGATAACGGAGACGACTGGGTCATTGTTACTTTGGATCAATTCAACATTTTGATATCTTTCATATCTTTCATGTTCTTCATAGTAGTTCTTACACCTCATCTCACATATCTAGTAGCTACTCTTAGGTATCTTGTACGAAGTACACCAACAATGGAAGTGATAGCTTGAAGACCACGAGCAATTCTGGCTGGGCACGTGCTCGCGTAACCCCTACACTCACTGATAGGAGGAGGGAACGGAAAGTCGGAGGTTAACCTCATTCTCAATGCTATCTTCTCTTTCTTTACTTCCTTCACTCCAACATACCCAACGGAGTAGATAGTTGGGTATAAAAGATCTCGCAATTCACCAAGACTTCTTGTAATATCGAATCTTAATCAAGAGATTACTCAAGATACGAATTATCTATCCTCCAGAATTTTCTATATATTTTATATCCCATACTTCAATAGTTATGAATAAAATCTACCATTGATGAGTGAATTGAGTGAATCTTCAAAGCAAAGGTTCCAAAATAATAATTTTTCTGTTCGCTGAATCAATGAAAGTGGCTTAGCTCGTTCCGTACCCCACCAACGAATAGTGAAAAAAAGGGCGAGTCCATTTAGCTAACCACTACGCTAAAACAACACAAATCCTTTCTCTCTTTTGGAAAACTCTCGCATCCTTCCACACAGCAACACCCAGCTCAACTCTTGCTTTCCACGTCGCCATCGAAACAAATATTTCAACCAATCCTTCTCATCAAGCATATACTACTATCACGTGTAGTAATTGATGCTTTGCCAATTGCTTTGCGACGACGAGAATTAATCCAATTTCATTAGGGGGCAAGAGAGGAGTATCGCGGGGTAGAGGGGTAAATCATACTTGGCTGTCTGTATCAGTTGTTAATTCATCAATTCATCAGCATGCCTCCACGACCAAAAGTACCGCTGGCGCGGCCCAATCCTTTGAGGAATATGAAACCGATTAAAGCACCTACTGCACTCTCTCGAAAAGCTGCCATGGGTGCTGCAAGAGGCAAAACACGACCAGCTTGTCCAAATCCACAATGTACTAACCCTCAAATCGAAGATGGTGTATGTCATAACTGCGGTACTGTGGTTGATGATTCAAATATTGTTTCAGAAATTCAATTCGGGGAAAGTAGCAGTGGTGCTGCAATCGTTCAAGGGAGTCATGTTGGTGCGGATCAAGGTGGTGCTCAAACCATGGGGCCTGCCTTTAGAAGAGCTGGTGGAGGGGAAAGTAATAAGGAGAATACTCTTCGCGAAGGTCAGTGCTGACGAGACCCCTATTTTCTCTGCTTGAAGAAGCTAACACCACATAGGAAAACGTGTCATGCAAGCTTTAGCAAATCAACTTGGAATTTCGGATCAAGTCGTCGGTGTTGGTCATCAAATCTTCAAACTTGCATCGATGAACAATTTTATTCAAGGTCGTAGAACGGATCTTGTGGCAGCTGTTTGCTTGTACAGTGCCTGTAGAAAGGAACAGCCATGCAGAGTTATGCTTATTGATTTTGCCGACAAGTCCCAGGTATGTTTGCATCCTTGCCATGTCATTTGGCATTTTATTGACATTCACAGGTTAACGTATTCACACTCGGTAAATATTTCAAAGCTCTTCACAAGCAGATTTCATTGGCTACGGATGGCATTTTACCAGTTCTACCCGAAGATTTGATCTGGAAATTTGCTTCCAAACTCGAGTTCTACGAACAAACCGAAAAGGTCGCCGATGATGCAATTCGTATGGTTCGAAGAATGAGTCTGGATTGGATGGTTATGGGAAGAAGACCTTCTGGTGTCTGTGGTGCTTGTTTAATCCTAGCGGCACGAATGAATAATTTTCGTCGAACAGTCACCGAAGTAGTTTATGTCGTCAAAGTCACAACAGCCACTATTCAAAAGCGTTTAGAGGAATTCAAGAGAACACCAAGTAGTGCACTTACTGTTGAAGAATTTCTCAACAACGAGTTCTTGGAATCTGCACACGACCCTCCTTCATTCTACCAAAAATCTGAAGCCTACCTCAAAGAAATGGAAGAAAAGAAGAAGAAGCGCAAGCGAAAGGGCAAAGGTAAAGCAAGTGAGACCCACGAAGACAATGCGGAGGATACCGAAGAGGAAAACGATGAAAGAAATAAGAGACAGAAGTCTACTTCTGGAGCTCCAGTACCATCAGGAGAAGTACGACGCGATGCCGATGGCTATGCTATTCCTGCAATTCCTACCTCCCGAGAGGAAAACATTGATCCACGACTTTTGGACGACGCCATCGAAGATGAATCAGGTACATCGTTCAACAAACTTGTTGCTGAGTTTGGCGACGTTGAGCCTGCCGATGCAGAAGCTGCCAAAGAACTCGAAGAACACGCCGGTGCACACACTAGAGGCCCGGGTCGTCCACGAAATGATGAACCTCCTATCGAAATGCCAGAGGAATGGCTCGCTGTAGAAGATGAACTCGAGCAACAAATTACAGAAATGGTTTCCGATCCTCATACTCAGGAGCATGCAATTAGTTTTGCTATAGCCCAAAAGAAAGCACATATTCACCTTCTCTACGCGGAAGCAAACCACCCTCAAAAGTATGTTAGCATGGATACTCACATCGGAGAGGATGAATTTGCTGATGACGAAGAAGTCATTAATTGCGTATTACCTGATGCTGAGGTTGCTAAGAAAGAACAAATTTGGCTCAATGCAAATAAAGATTGGCTCCGCAAACAACAACAAAAGGATTTCGAAAAGAGAAAGGCTGCTATGGGTCCACCAAAGATTACTAGAGCGAGAAAGAAGAAACCAAGAATTGGAGAAGGGCAAACTAGTGTAGCTAGTACACCAGCAGAAGCAGCTGTCAACGCAATGAAGGAAAGAAGTTGGAGTAAGAAGATCAACTATGAAGCTATCAGAGATATTTTCAAGACTGTTGGCACTAGGTCTGGACCTGGTAGTGTCGCTACGGGAAGTAAAGTTACCAGTAGAGATGCATCCACGGCTCCCGGTTCAGTTGCAGGTAGTATTGTCGATGGCGAGGAGGAAATCGTCGAAGAAGTTGAGGATGAGACAAATGAGCCGGCTGGTGACGATTGGAGAGGTGAAGTGAATGGGACTGGTAATGGTTATGATGAAGATGACTATGATGAAGACGACGCAATGGGTATGGGTGATATTGATGAAGATGAGTTGTATGGTTGAGTGTTCACTGTAACACAGGCTTTCAACCTCATTCGGGGAAGTGGGGTGGGAGGTGATAATTCTTGTGGGATGGACAATTATAAAAGGGGTATCTTTTGCACATATTCATGCATGGATGGAGTATCCGGGTGGTCACTGCATACAGTACAGGAGTTTCACGGTATATTTCGCAACTGAGCGATGGTGCGTAATCTGGAATAGCGAGACAGATATTTTCCAGACACTTTATGTGTAGGATCGTAATAGCTTCAAGATAAACAAAAGAAATAATTACAACAGATCGGATAAATCCAATTCTGATACCAAATAATGAGTGAGGCTTCAAATAGCAAAAAGCGATACCTGTTAGATATTCAGTCAAGTCTCCTTGTGAGGCTTTTATTAGAGCTAAAATCGTACGTATTTGAATCTGGGAACCTGCTTATTAATACGCACCACAGCATAATCTTCATAGTAGCTGAAGGTCACCACCACCTGGCACTTTGCGCCATTTTATGCGCAAATTATGCAGCTCCAAACAAAATCGATAAAATCTTTAAATAGAACATAAACTAAGTACCTACCTACCTGCCTACCTAATAATGTCAGCCCCTCAAATTTTATGTCCAACGCATAGAAACGCATAGACAAATCTCAACACAGGTACGTTGAATACTTATAAGGTAATAAGAAAAGAAGATCAGGAATAAATACACGCACTGGAGCACCCTAAACTGGATAATTATATTGGGATCTTACAGTCCTCTTATAATCTTCCTCTCTCCCCCAGCCTTTCTCTCTGTTACAGGTCTTTATTTTCGCTCATCAAGTCAGACAATATGGATTCCAAAATTCTCGAAGCTTCAAACAAGCACCGCAAACCTGCCGATCGGGTTTTCCAATATGGAACCGCGGGCTTTCGTATGAAGGCTAATCTTCTCGATTCCGTCGTCTTTCGCGTTGGTCTCGTCGCTGCTCTTCGATCGCGCAAATTGGGTGGTCAAACCATTGGAGTTATGATTACGGCGTCGCACAACCCACCTGAGGATAACGGTGTGAAGTTAGTTGATCCGATGGGAGAAATGTTGGAGAACAGTTGGGAGGCATACAGTACACAGTTGGCCAATGCGAAGAATGAGGATGTGGTCAACGTTTATCGCAAGTTGGAGAAGGATTTAAAAATCAACCCGGAAACTCCTGCGAGAGTTATTTATGCCAGAGATACTAGACCTTCGGGACCAAAATTGGTGGCGGCTCTTATCGATGCTCTTGAGGCGACGGGAACGGATTATACGGATTACAAGTTGCTTACCACACCTCAATTGCATTATTTGACTAGATGCACAAACACTGAGGGTACACCACAAGCTTATGGGGATGTTAGTGAGGTTGGGTACTATGAGAAGTTGGCCAAGGCTTTCGAGAGAGCTATGAAGGGAAAGAAAGCTACTGGTTCAGTCACCGTTGATTGTGCCAACGGTGTTGGAGGTCCTAAATTGGCTGAATTGATCAAGTATCTACCAAAGGGAATTCTCGACATCAAAGTACTCAACGATGATGTTTTGAAAGCAGAGAGCTTAAACCACGAGGTCAGTAATTTTTGTATTGTTGATTTCAGTGACTAATGTTTATATTTCACAGTGCGGTGCCGATTATGTCAAGACCAAACAACGAGCTCCTCCTTCATCGAAAGCTGGAAACAATGATCGATGCTGCTCATTAGATGGAGATGCTGACAGAATCATCTATTATTTCAATGATTCTGATCATGGTTTCCGCCTATTGGATGGTGATAGAATTGCTACACTCGCAGCTTCATTCATTGGCGATCTTGCTAGAGAAGCTGGATTGGCGGATGAATTGAGAATCGGTGTTGTACAAACTGCTTACGCCAATGGTGCTAGTACAAAGTATGTTGAGAAGACCTTGAAGCTTCCTGTCGTTTGCACTCCTACTGGTGTCAAATGGTTACATCATGCTGCTACAAAATTCGATGTTGGTGTTTACTTCGAAGCAAATGGCCACGGGACTGTAGTCTTCTCCCAACAAGCTTTGAAAGTGTTTGCTAGCACGACCCCAGAATCTCCTGCTCAGGCCAACGCCTTGGAAACTCTTCGTGCTCTCACCGATTTAATCAATCAAACTGTTGGAGATGCACTCTCTGATGTGCTACTGGTTGAAACAATCCTCGCCCACAAGTCTTGGACACCAAAGGAATGGGACTCTACCTATATTGACTTACCCAATCGTCTTGTCCGAGTTGAAGTTGCCGATAGAAACGTTTTCAAGACAACTGACGCCGAGAGAAAACTCGTGGAGCCACAAGGTACACAACAACAAATCGATGCACTTGTCGCCAAATTCAAGGATGGTAGAAGTTTCGCCAGAGCAAGTGGCACGGAAGATGCTTTGAGAGTATATGCCGAAGCTGCCACAAGAAGTGAAGCCGATGATCTTGCAAGCAAGGTAGCTTCCTTGTGCAAGCTTGAGGGAAGCATTAAAGGTTAGGTCTTTATGGTGACCAAGGGAGGACAATTGCGAGTGGAGGGACACTTATGAATCACGAATATGCAACGCATACGAATACCAAAAATGGAGTTGAGACGTTATTGATGATGCATGGGGAAAATACCCATGATTGGTAGAGATGATAGCATTCATAGCATTATTACAATTGATTTTTCACACTAAAAAGCTGTTGTTTTGTTATCATTTATACATTTCATCTTTTACGTTATATTTTCCATCCTTCATTTTCCATCCTGCTGTGTAGCCATTGTGATACCCAGATACTTACGAAGAAGAGCTTCATCAAAAATAAATCCCATGACCTCTTCGACTTCCTTGCCACTTAAAGCAGAAATTCGGCGGTGTGGTTGATTTTCTCTGTCAGATTTTTAACTACCGTATTTTCGAATTTTCCCAAATGAATACGGTGGGTAATATCTGGAAAAGGTCCGTAATCTGATATCACAGAGGTTAATGTCTAATCAGACACTAATAATGGGAGCTTTAGTAGATCATGTGGGGTAAAACACTGACCATACCCCTTCCGGATTTAAACATCAATGATGTCAAGACTCGTGTCGATTTACGAGCATCTAGATAGGTAGATACGGTAATTGCCCCTCAGAATATTTTATTTACCTTACATCATAATTTAGGGCGGTAAATATGAGGTACTAAGTAGTAGTTACGTGATTTATGGATATATAATAGAAGAGACAGGTAGGTATAAGCATTCCCTATCTCTTTCTCAACCTCATTGTTACTTTCTATCTATTCCTTCATCAACGTTCCTACTCAATTCATCATCACGAGCGAGTACTTCATGCGTTCCTCACTCTCAAGATCTCTGCAAAAAATAACATCTACATCTACATCTGCGAGCAAGATCACTTTTGGAAGTAAAGTTACTACATCATCTTGCAATACTTCGACAGCGAGAGTCAGACCAATCTCTCATACTACCCTTACAATCCTCAATATGTCATCAGGAATCCCCAGTGCCGATAATGCCCGTAGAGGCTCAAAAGATTCGGGAAAGGGAAGTAGATTGTATAATACGACTTCGGGCTCTGCCCATGCGAGTTCTGGAAGTGTGGGCACCGAGGGATTCAGTGCGTTGGGAATTGAAAATACGAATATTCATACGGCGACGGGGGTGGAGTTGAATCAGAAACAGAAGGTGGTGGTGGGAAGTGTTTTGGATGTATGATTTTTTCTTCTTTCTTTTGCTGCTTCTGGCCTTTGCTTTTGCTTCTCGTTCTCTCCTATCCCTTCCCTTCTATCCTCTTGCCCTCATTTATTTCCTGTCTTTGTACCCAAATCAAAAACTAAACATCCCACAAGCTCTTCGCAGGTCTCCCCTCCCTCGAAAAACTATCTCTCTGGTCTGACAACGCCGTCTTCGCGGATCAAATCACCAATGCCGAAGGACGCAAACAGTATTCTGCTCAATGGTTTGGATTAAAAACCGTTTGTAGCAATATAGAACGTCTCGGGCATGAGGTAACGAGTGCTGGAAATCCAATCGAGATGGATTTGAAGACGAAATACGTTTTGAAGGGGGGCATGGAACAGACTATTGAAAGTAAGGTGAGTATTTGGACGGAAGAACAGGGTGGAGAGGGAAAGATTACAAAGGTCCAGGATGCGTGGAATGGCAATGTGCCTAGTGAGGGATTTTTCGTTAAGGTGAGTTTATCTTTTATCTGGTGGATGGTTTGATGGGAGTAAAGTAGATGGTGCTAATCGTAGTGATTTGTAGGCACTTCGAAACCTTAATAGTGTGGTTGTACCTGCTGTTGTTAGTGTACCAAAGAATGATGGAGGAAAGGCTTAGAAAGGCAATTAACAAATGAGGAGCGGTCTACGCAATTGAAAAGGTTAGGATGGACCGGTATACGAATGAGTGTATAAGTCCACAGTTGTATGGGTGTATTATTAATTTCTTATTGCGTTGTGGGATTATGGGGTTACGAAATTACGAAATTGAAGGGCAGCACTATACCTTAGTATAAATTGAAACGATTTTTGGTACAAACACTTCTCTTCAAAAGAAAGCTCTCCGTGATCGAAAGAAGAGCTATCTATTGTTGAACTATCATAGCAGTCAAGTGTCTCAAAAGATTGTATTCACCTAGCTCATCTTTATTTACGCTGTACAAGAGAATTCATGTATCCCATGGGGAATTACAAACTAAATGCCTACTGAGGAGAAAGTATTTCGTTCTCTCTCCCCTCACACCACTCCCTCTATCACCACCTCACTTATTACTCACTACTCATTACTCACTACTCACTACTCATTACTTACTACTCATTACTCATTACTTACTACTTATTACTTACTATTCATTACTTACTACTCACTATTCACTACTCATTACTCATTACTTACTACTCACTACTCACTATTCATTACTCACTACTCACTACTCGCTACTCACTACTCGCTACTCACTACTCGCTACTCACTACTCGCTACTTACAAACCAATTCGCCGTCCTCCTTCCACACCAGTCCCCTTTAGCGAAAAAGATAAATCTTGCCGTCGTCTCAGCATAATACGTGACGTTTACTGCTTCTTCCCACATATAATAATTTCCTGGCTGTGGGAACTCGGAAGAGGGAGAATGGGTAGGTGTGGCTTTTGATGTTTGTGTAGGCTGTGATGGGGGCAAGGCGGTGATACTATTGGAGGTGGTGAGGAAGAGGGAGAGAGGGAGAGAGGGAGAGAGGGAGAGGGGGAGAGAGGGAGAGAGGGAGAGAGGGAGAGAGGGAGGTGAGATGGTGTAGTTTCCTTGCCACCAGTGCGGGCGCGTGGTGGTGTTAGAAGCGAGACATGGGATGAGAGTGGGGTATTGAGAGGGGGTCGTGAAGTCGGAGGAGGAGCATGTAGGTGTTGTTAGGGTTTGTGTTGAGGTTGGTGGCGATATTGAGGAGGGTGGTGGTGGGGGTAGATAGAGGGTTGGGTGGTTACGTCTACAGTGTGTGAGAGGGGTTTTAAGTTCAATGAGGGGGCTGTTTTGTTTGGGGATTGGATAGGATAGGGTAATATGGGATGTATGGAATGCGGAAAGCATATTAGAAGGACTAATCCATTTTCCAGGCGTCACAGTTATATTTCCAAAAAAAAGGCGCGCAATGTTACGAAATATGATTAGCCAGCTATCAGCGGGTGTTTGGGCATGTGTGACTCTTAGAGCTACACCGAGTGTCGCTATACTCGGAGTTGAGAAGCACATTTTGGGTTTGTTGGTTAGTTTTCCTCACCAAGATATTTCACCAAGATGATATCTGACGGGATGCAAGGGGAATTGAATGGCAAGATTTACGTAGATATGTGAGTAGGGAAATACTTGTTTATTTATTTATCTATGTATGTATCTACCTCTGTATGTATGAGTACCGAATCCCCCTTTCTACGCTAAAAACTATATACCGAGAAAGCATCCAAGTTCGTCGAGTGACTCTGATCCACTAATCCATTGTAATTCTCCTAAGTTCTGGATCTTCTTACTTCTCCGAAGTTGCGGCGCAAGTAGATGTTGAGAGTTATTCGTCTGTTTTATTTATTTTATTTTACATCTCTTGCGTGTAGTAAATTAGGTTAATAGCGAGGTTAATTGTAAATTGATATTGTATATTGGACACTGACGCTGCCCTTTCATCTCCTCGAAGGTTTGGATACTTGATATTGTCCGATTGATCTGATCTGGTCTGATTAGATCTGAAGGTGAAAACTTCGTGATATTATATGATAGAATATGTTTCTTGCTATGCTATGCTATTTGGCTGGTTGTAGAAATTGAGATTCGTGGGGTGGTGGTGACATTTTCATGGATGGGATGTAGTGGTTAATATCTGGGATTGTGATGGTGGTATTTTTGGGGATTGTATGGATAGGAGTAGATGGTTAGGGTGATTGGTATTACGATACGTTATGCGGCTATTACCTACCAGACTGCTATCTAAATGTGTTCACAGAGTATTCCTTACCACGAGGGAAAGAAGCCTTCATAATATACCGGTATCTATGGATGTTGTTCACGAGTTTTATAGAATGTTGAAGGGTAAGGGGTGGTGTGGGAGAAGTTTGATGGGATGGGTACGACGAGAATTACACAAGATCTTACGTTTGAAAGCTTCATTGTAGGATCCGAGTAGCTATGTTCCTGCTATAATGTTCTTTAATCATAGCGGGAACATAATTTTTGTAAACTCAGTCAAGACTCAACAGTCACGTTGTCGGAGTGCGAGAAACTGGATTTCTTGTTGTCGTTTTCTGGACTGGGAGATATACACGGTTTTTGTTGCTGATACCTCCGTAATTACTCTGCAACTATTAATGAAATGATATTGCTACACACACATCTCGGCAGCAAGAATACCACACCATCAAAACCGCAACATCATCACCTCCGCACTATATAATTACCTATGTATCTAAGGTTACAACCAAACTTCAAAACTCCACATCGTCACGAAAACATCTCCTTGGCCTCTGTCTTCTATTCAAAACCAATATAGAGATACCACATCTCTCTCACACCCGCCATCAACACACCTCCCTCCCTGTTCTGGTTGATTTGTTTCTTTTTGTTGTAGTTTTACATAATTCTCTTAAAATTTGCATTTCTTTTATAGTTTGAGTAAGGAAGCCTTAAAATGCAAGGAGGGGGAGGAGGGGTTTCTCGCTATGAATAATGAGGGAGTTGTTGGAAGTGTTAGCGAGATGGCTGGTTATGGTTTGGTGGTTTATTTTTTTTGTTTTGGTATTGGGATTAGGAAGTTGATGACTTGTAGGAGAGGATTGGGAGAGGTGGGAGAGTTGAGGTGTGTTTCTTTGTTATTTCTTGTTTTCGTTATCGAGTTGTTGTTTCTTAAATTTTCATTACTCATGTGGGAACATGGTAAGATTACTTTATTGTCCATTTGGAGCTTTTATCGGATGCTAGGATTTTTATACAGCATTGTTCGAAAATATTTCGAGTTTCTGCATCACACTTTGGAATGATTTTTATCTACGAGTCTCTTTCCTTCGCAGAAGAAACTTCGGACTCTCATCTCTCTTGCTTGGACTATTGTGTCGCAGCTCTAGATTGTTTGACAGAAATAGGAGCACAAAGTGCGATGTATATCGCAAAATTCATGAGTGAATAGTGAACACTATTGGTTGTGGATAAAGAATCGTTCCAAAGTGAGTATCAAGGAAGTAGAGTAGGACTCTCCACTGCCATTGAATTTAGAAATGCATCCTCAAATCATAAATTGACTTCCAGTATACCAGCAGACGCAGCTTTTCTCTTTCAAAGAAAAGAGACGCTCGATATTTCTTTGGTATCAATTTCTTGTCTACTTTGACAAAGAATCTAGCAATCACCCCATCCCTATCCATCGAAGAGCATCTATACCAGTTCCGGCATTATTCGTCAAAATCAACAAGAAAACAAATCATAAAGAGCTTCAAATGATAAAAACTTATCCCTTGTCTGAAATCCGTCACCAAAGTACGTCGACTCAACTCATCAATATCATATAGATGCCAATTGAACTCGACATTCTACGCGGAATCCGAACTTTCGCCACTGTCATCGGAACTAGTGCAATACTACTTTTTATATTCACCGTCACCGTCAATATAATCACCATGTTTCCCAAAAGAGTCAATCCTGATAAGCGCAAAACGCGTCCTTGGGAACCTACTGCCGCTGTCAGAATAGATGAGTTGGCAGAAGCAGGACAAGCGATAGTCAATCAAAGTAGACCCAAAAGAGTTAAAAGATATGAATCCAATGAGGGGTTCGTGCTAGATTATAATCGTAATCGTCAAAGTGCACAAAAATATAGGGGAAAGGGAAAAGCTTTTACTGATGTTGGAGAGATTGGGAGGAGGCAATTGGAGCCTCTTTCGAGATTGCGACCGACACCCCTTTCGTTGTGGTCAGAAAAAAGGAAGCCGCCACCTGGAGGTCCATCAGGAGGTCCATCAGGTTCCCCCGGTCCTCCATGTCCAGGTGCTGGAGGAGGTGGAGGTGGAGGAGGAGGAAGTGGGACAGCAACTGGTCTACCAGGACCCTCAGGAACCTCAGCTCCAGGTGCTGGTGGAGGCATAACACCTGCAGCACCAGGTGCAATAGGAGCAGGCAGAGGAACAGGAAGACCGACAGGATTCGCACCACCAGGAGGTGCAACAGAACCAGGCAGAGGAACAGTAACAGGAACAGGAACAGGAAGACCGACAGGATTTGCACCACCAGGAGGTGCAACAGGACCAGGCAGACGAACAGGAATACCGACAGGATTCGCACCACCAGGAGGTGCAACAGGTCCTTCGGGATCCGGCACAGGAATAGGAAGCGGGACAACATCTGCGCCGCCTGTGACTTCAGGTACAACTTCCTCGGCGTCTACCAGACCAGACTCCGGTGGAATATCTCAGCCCTCGATACCGCGCAATATAGACTTTTGGATACAATGGGAGGCGGGAAACATTGCTTGGGCAAAGGCACTTGCCCGTGAAAGGCAACGCGATATCGGTATCAGTGCTGATGAGCTGCTGAGATCATTCACAGTACTAGATCTGCCTATCTTCTATAAAAAGTTCTCTGAACAATTCATGAGCGATCCAGCTCATAAGAACGATCTAGCCGGAGATACTGGTCATCCTCACTGGTTTTTCGAAAATATGTCGAAGGAATATTATGGTATCCATCCTGGATCTTACAAAGTGCCTTCCGAGGAAGCATTCGAAAAAGCCAGGATCGAAAGGACTACCAAGGAAGGACAAGAGGCTATAATCCAAAGGGCCCGCGACTCACTAAAACACGCCCATCAGTTCAGCCAAAGAGTAAAACCAACTCCACATGATACACATCCGCTGCCTACACCGACGGGAACCATCCCCGTCCCGGGAGCGCCTGTACCTAATACTTCAATAATTACTCCTCGCCCAGGAGCCAATACCACTGGAGCCTCAGGTATCGCAGGTATACTTGCGGAAATCCGAGCCAAACCCAATCCAGCATCGAAGCCCCGACCAGTCGTGTCCACATCTGGAAATACTACGACAGGAAAATTTCCATCTCAGGATGAGCAAGCAGTTGCAGATTATCTCGACAGCTTGAGACTAGGGCTAATCACGGGTTCAACGAGTCAACCAGATGTCAAAACTACAACTGCACCGGTCGCCATCAATCCGTTCGCAGTCGCCCCTAGACCTCCCCAAACATCCAGGCCAACGGTATCTACTCCAGCGGCCCCTGCTACATCGGGCGGGGGGTTAGTCGGAGGTTTAGTACATGGTCTTATCAACCCTTCCAGTAATGCTGCTGCTACTGCTGAAGTACGAAAAGCTTTTGGTCCGCCAAATGATCTCATCGTTCTTCCTCCCACAGTCAAGCAAAATATTCCATTTCACTATGTTTCAGATTTACATCTCGAGCAGACGAACTATATAAATTTTGACTTCAAGCCGCGTGCTCCGTATTTGATCCTTGCCGGCGACATAGGGAATACTGATAAAGGAAGCGAGACTAAATATCTGCAGTTCTTAGCTAGAATGTGTGCTAAACCAGAACTCAAACGAGTTTTCCTCGTAGCTGGAAATAGAGACTTCTGGCCATCCAGTAGTAATACAGTGGAAGGGACATTAGAAATGCTTAGAGGCTTTGGAAGACATCCAGATACATTAGGAAAACTGGTGTTCATGGAGAACGATCGCTTTGTCATTGAAGAGAATGGAGGCAAGGTTGTGATACTTGGCTGTACGTTGTGGACTGAAAAGCGGAAAGGTGGAGGTCGTGAGCCGAGTGATCAGAATAATGCGCAAAGAACGACAAGGCATCACGCATCTTGCGATTGGATCAGGAAAAAAACCCAAGAAATTAGAGACGATCCCAATGAAGCTGAAACGCGCATACTCATTATAACGCACATGCCACCTTCTAAGAGCGGAACCTCACCTCCTGAACAGACTGCAAAGAAGCTTCGTGACTTCAATGATGGAGATAGCCATGGCAGTGATGTTATTGATGGCTGCAAGGGACATGGCTATGATCATAGTTCGATTAAAACTACAATGCCTCTCTTGGACTGGAGAGACGTTTGGATTTGGGGCCATACACATTGGAACGAGCCGCGTTATGGGAAAACTAGGCATGGTGGAATGAGATTCGAATCTAACCAAAGGGGAAATACTAGTGGGGTCCCCAGAGACTATCACCCCAAACCACCGGGTGCTTTTAAACCAGAAAAAATCATCATGGTTTGATTTTGGCAAGAATTTTTCATTTTGGACACTTTCTCTTTCAAGAGTTTTAGGCAGTACTTTGTATATGATATTTGACAGATGTATCCATTAATTTTCAGATTGTTTGTTCGTATCCTTTAAGCGTGATGAATATGTACTTGTCATCTTGTCACTTGAGCGTAGACCACTGAGAAAATCATAATCACTCGCATTATGAATTATCGCATTGTTCGGTTTCGAAGATTAACAGCCTCAACAACTTCAACTAAAGATTGTTATATCCCTTGCTTGACCTTGTGAGTGATTTAGCAACAACGTCCTTCAAAATCTAGATTTCGCTGCTGACTTGCATTCGCTTTAGTGAATGAAGACCTGTTGCAGACTCGGTATCTGTTATCTCGTTGCCTGAAAATGGTGTTTGATAAAAGGAAAAAAAACTGTATCTTGTTCAGGAGGGTCAATGTGGCCAGAATTACAATAGCCTTCAACCCAATAGCCACAACTTAGCATGACTGCTTTGCATATACTGCGAACGAGGTCATTATACATAGGTGGTGTGCTGTGTCGTTGCTGGTGGTGTACAACATTGAGACATGCTTGTTTGATGCTTCATGCATACCTGGATCCTAGATAGGTACACGACAGGATGCTTCTATGATCTATTGATTAGATGCGTATCGTATCCGTAAGGTGTGGTACATAGAAGAGAAAATAGACGAATAGTTTGATGGATGTGCTTCACTCGAGTCCCAAATCATCTTCCCTGGATGTTTCTCTCCCTTATTGTGGATATCACATCAAGTGTTCCTTAATCCGTCACTTTAATGCCGACCGATTGTAGATTTCTTCACCAGGGCTACCGATTCAACCTCAAGATTTTAGCTACCAAAAGCATTTCAAGGTCCATACGTTGATACCAATTAATCAATATCAGATCCGGTACTAATTCGATCTGGATATGTCAAATACCACAACCCCCTTATCCTTAACCACAAGAAACACGCCAGGATCCTATGTGAGTTTCAACTTGATGGACGAAATGTATGACAATCAAAATATTTTACCAGGGGGATTTGATGAAAAGAAAGAGGGAATCTGGACACCCGGGAATCCAGATTATTGGTCGTTCATTCGAGGTGTCAATATTAGATGAAGGAAGAAGAGGTTGGTTGTTCAACAACGTCGGAGTAATGTCTCAAAATTTCTCCGACCAACGCCAAGGAACTGGTTTCGGGTGTGACATTTGATTAGTCATGAGCATGAGCATAGGAAAGATAATTCATGACAACTATTTCATGCTTTTCGTTGCATTATGATGGCATCCCTCAACATATTGGGGCGGTATGACATGAGAAATGGTCATCTGGAGAAGAGAAAAGTCGTATTCTATTCGTACGAAAGGTTCAATGTAGGATTCACATACCTTATGCCCAGACTTCTCGGCCTGTGTTCCGATAATATGGGCGTAGTCTTACCCTATTGAATTTCTTTTTCTGCAGAAACCAAGAGATGGAAAGCATGCATGGCATCCGTTTTGTCAAAAATCCGTTCATAGAGGTGGTTTTGTGTTCCCTAACCCTGGCACTCTTACTCAACGGGCCATTCTATTACATTGAGAAACGTTCCATTTCGGATATGTTCCAGAATTCCTTGTTCTTGATCGTGGAGAATCCCTCAAATTGCAGCTCGAGTATGCATAACTTCGAATGCCTATACATATTCAGCTCAAAAGATGTTAGAGATGGGATGAAATTGCGAAGATACCAATGAGGAGACGGCTCGTCTACCACATTTTGAGAGCGTTCCTGACATCAGCTGTGCCAAGAATCTGCCCGTCAGTCCACTGATGTACACCATACGCCAATCGATATGTTTGAACGTTTAGTGCAACCTCGGTGTCGTGATCGTATAAGCTAGGGCGTTGAAGCCACATGGTTGCCAGGTTTGTGGACGACATTCATTGCAAGAATAGTTTCTCGTATGCTGTAAAGCTGCACGTTGAACATATCATTCATTTAGGGCTTGCTCAAAAATACCGGAAATGCCCAAATCAGCGCATGGAAGTGGTTCTGGGCCAAGGAGCCGCCATTCCATGCGTTCATTGCCTCAATGTTACGTTCAGGCTTGCTCTCCTTGATGGCATTAGCTGATCCTCGTCTTTTGTCGAGGCTATTACACATAGGTCTTACCTTGATACGAGGCTGAGTCTACGGCGAGATGCGTTTATTGAGGCACAGGAAAGGCATTGCGAGGATCTTCTGTATAAAACAGGAGATGATTGACGACTACTTCGTGTTTTTGCTTCAACAATAATTCGCTATTGAATCGTACTTTAACAACATATAAGGGCATCTTGAGCTCATCATAATCTTCTTGGTCAACTTTTCTCTGCGTTCCTTCTCATTACCAGGGCATTTCCTCAGACTCTAGCATATTGTTGGGGACTTCAATTTCTAGTAACAAGATATACACATTCTTCAGATCTCAACATGGTACCAAGTCTCATCAAAAGGCTCGGGGCCCTATCATCATTACTCTGCTCTGTTATGGCTTCTCCGCTATCTAAGCCCGAGTATTTGAAATCTCGAGCAGGTACACTTGCTATTACAGGCGTTCAAGATGGAGGTTTACAGCCCCGTCTTGAGATTCGTTCACTCGCCGCCGATTCTACTCAATGGAACTTGTTTTTGTTAGCTATGATAGCATATCAAGGTAGTGATCAGAATGAATTATCCTCTTTCTACCAAATTGCAGGTATGTTTAATAATAATTACTCTGGTGATGAATTAACCTCCAGGCTAACGAATATCAGGCATTCACGGTTACCCCTTAAAACCCTGGGACGGAGTTCAAGCTGTAGGAGCTGGAACCAGTGGGTATTGTACTCATGGATCTAACCTTTTTGGTCCCTGGCATAGACCTTACCTTGCATTGCACGAGCAACAAATACATGCCTGGGGTATCAAAATTGCGCAACAATTCAGCGGTAGTAACTCAGAAGCATATCATCAAGCATCTTTGGCTCTCAGAATACCATATTGGGACTGGGCTGCCAACCCTGCCAATAATGGACCTATCCTCCCCAATGTCTTGAGCAATCCAACCGCTTTTGTCACGTATCCCAATGGTAGCACGGCAACAGTGCCCAACCCATTGTACTCCTATAGCTTCCATCCCTTGAATCCAAGCGATCTCCAAGTAAGTAAGAACCTGCTCATATAATGGTACTTTATTGATTCAGATAGAATTCTGCTCCATTTAGCATATGGAACAACACACTTCGGTGGCCAACATCAAATAATGCCGACGCCACGAGTCAAAACAACCTTGCGGAAGAGCAATTCGAAGCCAACTTACCGAATTTCAGAACACAAATCATGACTCTCTTTGCAAATTGGCAAGTAAGTTCGGAATCTACTTTTTGAAACCACGAAAACGTTCACCTCTAGTTGATCAACGCTGATATTTTACTGTAGCCATATAACAAATTCAGCAACAAGGGATCCGGTGGCTCTGGCCTCGGCAACATTGGTAGGTTTAGTGTGTGGTGAAAGTTCACATGATCACTAATTAGTCGATAGAATCAATTCACGATACTGTTCATACTTTAACTGGAGGCTTCATTTATTATGGTCATATGTTAGTTATTCCCAGAATACCTTGTCCTTTTTGGCAATTTCACAATTTTTCTACTTCATATACAGAGTGGTGGGGGAAATGATTTCAGGAGCAATACTAACTGAAATATATCACATAGGTCCATCGTTCCAGTCGCTGCATTCGATCCAATTTTCTGGTTTCACCATGCAAATATCGACAGATTAATCGCCCTTTGGCAAGCTGTATATCCCGATACATATGTCGAACCAACCCAACAGAGAGCAGGCACATTTACCATTCAAACGGGTTCAATTCAAGATCAAAACTCCCGTAAGTCACCTGGATATTTTCACTACCGTAGTCGCATACTAATACAACGAAGCTTTGACTCCATTTCATCGAGATACGAGTGGCAACTTCTTCTCCTCCGCCGATGTGCGCAACGTCGAAAGGCTTGGCTATTCCTACCCTGAGATAATCAATCATCCAGACAACACTACTCTCCAACAAAACATTGCTGCACTTTATACTGGTCCCCCAAGTAGCTTCAAGAAACGACAAGCAGCCACCACAACTTCGCTTCCACGCGACTACCTAGTGAAGATCGATTTACCGTGGACAGCTCTTAACGGCACATATAGTGTCGGAGTATTCCTCGGCAAGAGCTCTGCCAGGCCTGATGAGTGGGCGAAAGATCCCGCATACGTTGGTATGCATGCTACACTTGGTACACAAAGCATGGCACCCAATGATGTTATTGCTTCAAGCAATGTGCATCTCACCGATGCTCTTATCAAAAAACATGATGAAGGTGTTCTACCGGATCTCAACGAAGATGCCATTATTAAATATTTGACTGCTAATCTAGAGTGGAAGGCTCAAAAGGGCGGCATTGAGATTGACATCAGCACTCTGGCTGGTGCAGTGGTGACAACGGAGTCAATCGAGGTTGCTGCCCCTGATGCATTGGGTACTTTTTCGAATTATAAGTGGGTAGGAGATTTCAAGATCTATCCGGGTGTGTTTGATACCATTGAAATTTTATGAGTCAATTGAGAGAATGATGGCGGGTTATTTTGCTTTTGTCATTTTTGGGGGGGGTTTATAGGGGTTCATGTCACTTGACGGGAGGTCTGTCTTGCTTTTAAAATTACTGCTGCTATATGAAAAAAAGCAAAAAAATTCCTTGACATATGTCAGAACTGAGTAAGAATAGTTAGATGCGACTTCGTACACAAACTTATCCAGGCAGTGGAATACATCCATTCAAAACATGCTTCTATTGGTCTTGTGTTAGTAGTCATTTCTTGAGTGTCTACCATGTCTCTCCCCTCAGTGAAAAAAAAAACAAAATGGACAAAAGAAAAGGCAAAACGAGCGCATTGAATGGGCGTTGCCCGGGATTGAACCGGGGACCTCTTACATGGAGAATCAATCGGTGAAGACTGAATTGTCCCTAAGCAAGAATTATACCACTAAACCACAACACCAAACTATACGTTTTGATACATTAACACTCAGGAATATAGGTTATATTACTACTGTAATCTTGACTCCATTGACATTTTTTTGTGTCAACGTTTCCTTTGTAGTGGAGTAGAGTAAGTGGAACTAGGTGGGCTAAAAGCCTCTCGAGAGATCAGTTCATTGGTGCACATAAATTTATGCCAGTCCTTCCCGGCATATATATTCGGGTACGGGTAAACAATAAACAATACGTGATTGTACCCTCCTTCGCACCTTCATCATTAATATTTGCAACATCACATTTACAATTATCACCATATCCAAACCACCAGAATTCATTGGATGCATCCTTGTCTTTACCATTGAAGCACAAGGATATGTCAATCGTTATGCTTCATAAAGTTTGTAGATCATACGCAAATGCTATTGCCGGTGCGGAGTATGCATTCAGGCTATACATCCGTCCCACTCTACACTCTGCCTCCATAGTTGGAAAGAATTCACCCCTCATGTATTGGGGAATTCTGCGGAATTACGTCTTCAATGGACAAGTAATGTGAACTCAAAAAGATAAGTATAAGGATACAATGGTGCTACTTTATGGGAATGTTTCGTCGCTTGTATATTTGTTACGTGGTTATTTGAAGGTACACACCACCAATATTTCATTATGTTGATATACTTCAATTTATTTCTCATTTATGTGTGGTGGATACAAGGTATATTTGCTTTGAGAGTTGGAAGCATTCAAAATGCACGTATCAAGGTGCACAAAAGAGAAGTTCTACAACAGTTGGTCAGTAGTTTACACTGCAAATTCCAAAGCAAGAATCTTAACCAGTAATATGCTTATAGGTGTCTTGGGATGAACATTCAATCATCGTTCGTGGTGAACGTATTATGATCTATTCCGGTGAAGTTCATCCATTCCGTATTCCATCTCCAGGGTTATGGCTCGATGTCTTTCAAAAAATCAAAGCCATGGGTTTTACTGGTGTATCTTTCTATACATACTGGGGATTACTTGAAGGCAACCCTGGGCAAGTAATAACAGATGGAGTATTCAGTCTTGATGAGTTTTTCGATGCTGCCACGCAAGCCGGAATTTACTTGATCGCTCGTCCTGGTCCATACATCAATGCAGAAACAGCAGCTGGGGGGATACCAGGCTGGGTGCTGAGAATCAAAGGAGTCATAAGATCCACTGATCAGGATTATCTTGATTCCATTCAAAATTACGCTTCTACAGTTGGCGAAATTATAGCTAAAGCACAAATCACAAATGGCGGCCCTGTGATCATGGTCCAACCAGAGAATGAATACGCATCATGGCCTGGTGTTACTAACTTTCCAAGTCAAATGAACAAAGATTATATGGCATTTGTGGAACAACAGCTTCTCGATGCGGGTGTTGTGGTTCCATTTATTGTGAATGATAATTTGAATATTGGAAATTTTGCTCCAGGGAGTGGGCTCGGAGAAGTAGATCTTTATGGAATTGACGCTTATCCTATGCGTTATGATTGTGGCGATCCATACATTTGGCCAACTTATAGATTTCCGAAGACTTGGGACATCAGTCATGCGAATTATAGTCCATCGACACCCTTTACAATTGCTGAATTCCAGGGTGGAGGCGGAGATGGATGGTAAGTTCTGCAAAAAGTCCAACCTATTGACTGCTAATGTATAGATTAGGGGTGGTGTTGGAGAGGATCGATGCGCAATCCTCACCAACAATGGTGCGACCAAGGTTCAATTCAAGAACACTTACAGTTTTGGAGTTGCAATCTTCAATGTCTACATGGTAAGATCCATGGCCTCCTATCGAGCTCTCTGCGTTGATTAACCGACTTTTGAAAGATACACGGTGGTACCAACTGGGGAAACCTTGGGTATCATGGGGGATATACATCTTATGATTATGGAGCATCAATTACCGAGGATCGTCAGGTCTGGCGAGAAAAGTACAGCGAAATGAAACTGGAAGCAAACTTCCTTAAAGCATCTCCTGCTTACTTGACAGCTACGACTGGACATGGTGAAAATGGTACTTTTGGAGTTCCAGCTGAAATTGCTGTAACCCCATTGTTTGGCGCTATTAATAAAGGCACAAATGACACTAGAACCAATTTTTACGTGGTCCGGCATGCAGATTTCACGTCTTTCGCAAGAACATTGTATAACTTCACAATTACTACATCTCATGGCAACATTACAATACCTCAGTTTGGTGGATCATTGGTAATGAATGGTCGAGATTCCAAGATACACGTTACAGACTACGATGTAGGGGGAATCAACATGATCTATTCGTCGGCCGAGGTTTTCTCATGGGCCAAGAATCACAATGATGGAAGAGTTTTGATTCTCTATGGTGGAGACGGAGATAATGGTGAAGCTGCTTTTCCAGTATCTCTTGGTGTGCCTGACGTTATAGAAGGGCACGGGGTTGATATTCGAAAACTTGGTGGAGCTTGGGTACTTCAATGGACTGTAAATCAAGAGAGACGAGTTGTCCAAATCGGAAAGTTAAGGATTTATTTATTGTGGCGAAATGAAGCATATAACTATTGGTCTCTGGAGCTGGAAGCACCGGCACCAATCGGTAACCACACATCTCCATCGAAATCATCGATTATCGTCAATGGTGGCTACCTGTTACGAACAGCTAGTATTGAAGGCAAACAACTGAAACTTACGGGGGACATCAACGCCACGACCAACTTTGAAGTCATCTCCACACCTACTGAAGTAACTTCACTTCTTTTCAATGGCAAAATACTCCATAGCGAAAAGTCAAAGAAAGGAAATCTTCAAGCTCACATATCATATTCGCCACCATCTATTAGTCTTCCCGATTTCACAACCCAACAATGGCACTATATCGATTCCCTCCCCGAACTTCAGCCTCACTACAACGATTCTCTATGGACACCATTAGACCACATAACTACAAACAACACCTTGAATCTCACAACCCCAACATCAATGTACGCCAGCGACTACGGCTATCACACCGGTTCCCTCATCTATCGCGGTCATTTTCTCTCGACCGGCAATGAAACAACATTTTTTATCAACACAACGGGTGGTGCCGGGTTTGCTCATTCCGCCTGGCTCAATTCTACATTCCTAGGCTCTTGGGTTGGCAGTGGTGGGAATCAAACATATGCTCAAACATTCTCACTTCCTTCCCTGAAGTCTGAAAGTCCATACGTTTTCACAGTATTAATAGATCACATGGGTCAGGATGAAGAAGCCCCAGGAACTGACGCTATAAAATTTCCACGTGGATTCCTCGATTACTCTCTTTCTTCACATCCTCAAACTGACGTTGTCTGGAAAATGACCGGAAACATAGGCGGAGAACAGTTCATCGATAAAACACGAGGGCCTCGAAACGAAGGAGCGATGTTCGCAGAGAGACAAGGATACCATCTACCAAATTCGCCAAGTGAAGCGTGGGAAGTCAGGAACCCCGTCAGCGACGGAGTTGGCAACGCTGGAGTGGGGTTCTTCACTACGAAGTTTAACTTGAGTATTCCAGAAGGGTGGGATGTGCCACTTGGATTCGTTTTCAATGGTACGGGAACACCTGGTAATTATAGAGCTCAGCTTTTTGTTAACGGCTGGCAATTTGGAAAATATGGTATGCATCTTCTTGATAATTTCTTGTTTCTTTTTTTCTTTACTTCTTCCTCCCACTTTTCGCTTCCGCGTCTTCCCCCCCGTCTTTCATGTCATCATTCTCACCCCCACCTATAGTAAATAACCTTGGCCCGCAAATACGCTTCCCGATTCATGAAGGAATCCTTAATCATCAGGGCACAAACACAGTAGCATTAACGCTCTGGTCTTTGAATAGTGAAGGAGCGAAGATTGGCGGGTTTGAGTTGGTTCCTAATGCGACTATTTGGAGTGGATATCGAAAGCCGAATTTAGTCGAGGGGAGTGGTTGGAGTAGGAGAGAGAGGTATTAGAGAGGAAGGAGACGGATTGAGAGGAGTAAATTATATCCAGAAAAGCACTGTAGGTAGAATAGGGGACTCTGGGTACTGATATCGAGCTTCGTGGATTGGGTCAACTGCGGCGGATATGTAATGTTAATAGTAGATATCGTTTGCAGACATTGAATAACCCTCAAATCAATCACTTTTTAACATTGAGAGTACTTTCCACATATATCGATCTTCCTATTCAGTATAATCTATACAGTTAGAACTACACGAAACTCAATGATAAGTAAACTAATCCGATTCATACATGCCCATATTGAAATGAGAAAAGAAAATCAAGATTATAGTTCGAGAATTCAGAGATTGATCACCTACGTAGCATTCATATCACCTCCCCAATGTCCCAAAACCGCAAATACTTTCTCTTTCTATTGCGAATGAAGTCTAGATTTGTTCCGGAGAGGAGACTGGAACATCAATAGCTACCAATTTGATATCTAAATATCTCGACCCGTCGTTTTGGAAAAGATGTATTCGAATATCAGACGCTACGAGAGTGAATGATACGGCATTATCGTGAAGAAGAACAATACTGGGTGGAGAGATTCATTGGCGTGCGGTAAGTATAATCCCATCAATAAGAGCTTACGTATACTGCACCAAGAAAGTATGTTAGTATAGGTTTGAGTTTGGTCGTTGGGTTATTGTGCAATGCTTCGGTGGATTAAGTATTGATGCTCATCGAATAATGAGAAAGAGTAAATAGGCAGGAGAAAGTTTGAGTGATTCTAGTGATTGAAATATATGGTGACATTTTTTAACATGTATTTCTTTTCCATAATGAATAAGA